GAACGTCTAAATGGATTATCTTCTAATGATTTAAATATAATTTAAGATTCGAATATTCAATTGAATTGTTTGAATATGACAGTAACTATTGAAGGATTCAATTAGAAAGAGTTTATCTATAATTCAACTATTAGTGATAGAGGATGTTAAATTAAATTTTAGTTTTACAAATCAATTCGTAAAATCAATTTAATTCATATTTATATTGAATTTCAAGAAATTTATACAAGAATACTTAATGAATAATATTAATAATATAAGGAAATTTAAGTAAATCCAGTTGATTAAATAGTTTTAGATGATAGTCAATAATCTTAAGCTGATGCTATCTCTGATGCTTAATCTAGTTTATCTATATTAATTTGGATTCTTGCCCCACTTTCAATATTATTTGGTTTATTTGATTATTTATGGGCTATACTAGAAATTCTTAGTTGGATTAATAATTTTTACTTTTTTAATGTTAATTTTCCATTCAATGTTTAAGTCTTATTTTTGAATAGTGATTGGTCATCTATAGTAAGTTTTCCAACTTATTAAAATTTGAATTAACCAGGTTGTGACTATTATTTTGAATCACCTCCAAGATTTGCTGAAAAAGGAGTTGATCCACTATTTATTAATAATGCTTAAGTTCCAGTCTTCTTTATTTTTACCTCAATTTTATTATATTTAGTAAGTCTGCTATTTCAATAATTATTTAAAATAATAGATAAGGTTTTATAAAGAAAAATCCCAATACATGGTCATTCTACTTTTTCAATTTAAAAAAAACAAGATATTCAATTACATAATCAAGATCCATTTAAATATTAGGTTAAATATAATAAGTATTCCTCATTTATTTTTTAAAAGCTAAAAATAGTATCAAATAGTTTTAAAAGTAGAATTAAATAAACAATAACCTTATGCTTATTAGATTTAACTATGGCTATAACACTTTAATTAATTTTTGCAAAACAATTTTAACATAGTATGATATTAATCAATAGCATTTTGGCATTATTATTTTGTCTCTTATTAATTTATTAATTAAGACAATCATATTATGTAATAGGTATTCATAAGAATCTAGCTGAATATCCTCTTTTTAAATAAAAATATGGATGCTATTATGAGAATATAAATATTGAAAATTCTTTTGGACTTAAATTTAATTTCTTTGGACTCATTCGAAAGATAACTTATATATTCTGTCTTGTTTATTTTTACTATAATCCACTTATATAGACTACGTTATGTTTTATATCATGCTCTTCTGGTGTTTTATTACTTCTTTATTCTAATCCATTTCAAAGTAAGGGGCATTTTTTTAAATAATTAATTTCAGAATCAGGATTGAGTTTGATAACTTTTGTTACTATTTTACTTTCTATTGATGATTTATTATAAAAGATGGAAGAATCAACTAAAATATATTTGGGATGGATTATAATATCTTTAGTTTTAATTTGTGTATTTTGTGAAATCATAACTTTAATTTTTGAAATTTTTAAATTACTTTATGAAATAATAATTAATATGATTAAAATTCTACTAGAGAAACATAATATCATAAAAGAAATTAGTATAAAAAATGAAATCTAACAATGTAATTTACCTGAAATAATAAATATAAATAGATTATCCTTCAAGTAGCATGGTTAACTTCATCAGTATATAAAATGAATTTGTGTATAGTATTAAATATTAATGTATCTTATAATTATATTGAAAATAATAAGAATTCAATTATTATAATTTAAATATCAATAAATATATTTTCAACTTAATCTCTGTTTTAATTCTGATATCATTCTATCAATATAAGTAGCATCTGGATAACCATATTTACCTCCATTCAAACTTGTCTTATGATGTAAATCATTAAATTAGACTTAATACTTATGGCCATCCTATAATGATCTTCCAATTGTAAATACTAGACCTTTATCAAATGCTTTCTTTAATAAATCAGCTAATTCCTCTCCTTCTTTAGTTTTAGGTATATAACAAGTTTGTTTTGTACCTCTATAATGAATTCCATTTTACAATCCATTAGGTATTTCATAAATAATTTCTATAGTCTCAGTATTTTCATATCCTTAACAAGATTGTTTGATGATCTATTTGTTAAATGTACCAGGTGGTTAAGCAGGAACTCCATAAATTTTATCACAATCTGGACATTTCAATTACTTATTCTTAATCTTTTCAACTATACATTTAGCATGGAATATATGATTGCAAGGAGTCATTATTGATTTTTAATTTGTCTTTGTACATATTGAACATTTAGATTTATCATTAGTCTTCTGTATCTTAAAGTATTTTGCTAATACTATATCTGGCCTATTTTTTAGTTTATCTTCAAAATTTTTCATTCTTTATATCAACTAATCAAAGGATTACCCATTTAAAAACATTTTATTTATATTATAATTATTATTAATTATGTTAAAATTTTAAAGAATCTGTCTAAGATAATTTAGTTAAAAAAAAATATTAACTGATGAATAAATAAAAGAAGGTCTTAGACCAATTTTAATGAAAGAAGGCTACTTTGAAGATGAATAATACTTATATTACATTGATCGAGATAGTAGAATCAGAAAAGTACCTAGAGAGTACTAAAAGAGAGAGTAAATAACATAAATATATGTTTTCTTAGTGGTGTTTATAGAATCAAATTTCTTGAACCTATATATAGATGGTGGATACGCAGATCGCCAGACACTTAATTTGCAATTATTCCTTATTTTTTATCTGCTGTCTTCTTTTCAGTTATCTATAATGGAGCAAATTTCATTATTGAGAGAGAAGATTAAATTGCAGAAAAGGCAAAAGTAGATCCAAATTTCAATAAAGAAAACCTTGAAAAATGGAGAAATGAAAAACATAAGGAAAAATGAAATTAATAACCAATATTATTATTTATCAATATGGATAAGGATGTTTTTCATTAAATTTAACAACTCCTTCTATTTCTTTCATTACTCTAAGTACCATCTCTTCATGATTAGGATATGAAATAACCTGTACATTAACTGGTAATCCCTATGCATTTTACATATTTTGATTCATCATAATATACACTAAATCAATAGTCCTTTCCTTTCCTTAAATTTTTAAATCATCTCCTTCTTAAACTCTTGTTATTGGCATACTTCCTGCTGGAACATCAACTGTATTCCATATCCATGTATATAATCTATAAATATAAAGATTAAAGATTTACGCAGCTAAAGGTAATACTTTTGATGCTCCATGTTTAACAGCTGGACAACCAAATCCAGGTACAATTACAGCATCAATTTGATTTAATTTCAAATATTATAAAAATTAAAAGTTCATTCTCTTTTGTTTTCCTGAATTTACTAAAAATTGATAAACATCTAAACCATGAGTTTATTTACTCATTACATAAAGAGTTTTTTATCCAAATAATTTTAATAAAGGTGCTAAAATGTATGTTTATAAAAATATTGGAATTTTAGTTCCTCTCTCCATTAATTCATATTCTTCAATTATCTTTTCACCTTATAAATTATCTTCGAAAGACTTAAATCCTCCTTCTGCTGCTACTAACCTTGGAAAAGCAACAGCTAATTCATGTTCCAATTCTTTCTCTAAATTTATCTAAACTATTTCATGTCCTTTACTAATTAAAGCTTAACAAGCTTCTTTAACAGCTCTCTTCATACAATTAGGTGGTAATAAATCATTAAATTATTCAATATATCCAATTTTCAATTTTTCCTTATTGGCATTCTAAGTAAAATCAAGATCTTAAGGTTACCAATAAGGATCTTAAATTGAACATGGTAATTCAGAATAATTCTTAGAATTAAACAACACTCTCAACATTACTGTTATATCATCTACACTACGACCTAATGGACCTTTTGATGGTCTTATATTAATCATTCCACTAGCTGCTTTTTCAATAATTCCTTCTCCAACTTCAGTTTATCTACCAATACCTGGCTTAATTCCATAAATTCCACAAAAAGCAGCAGGTATTCTTATACTTCCACCAATATCAGATCCTATACCAATAACACTACATCGAGCAGCTTGTAATGCAGCTTCTCCTCCTGAAGACCCACCTACTGCTCTATCCTTATTCCATGGATTAAGAGATCTTCCAAAAATTCTATTAATAGATTCAAAAGTCATAGCAAGTTAAGGTAAATTGCTTCTTACAAATATTATACCTCTAGCTTTCTTAATTAAAGAAACTTAGATTCCATCATAGGTAGCTGGTTTAAACAATCGAGATGCTAATCCATAAGTGTTATCAAATCCTTTATGAATGTAAGTGTCTTTAACCGAAACAGGTATTCCAAAAAGATCATATTTATAGATGATTTAAGGATCTTAAGAAATTTCTTAATCTTGTTTCCTAATTAAATCACTCTATAAACTTACTCAGCTTCTTATAAAGCTTCAACAAAGTTAATATCTGTTATTAGATTCAAATTGTCTGAGGTGGCTACAGACAATGTTCTATTAATAAAAACCAACAGCACTTATTTAACTGTTGCCTTTTTTTCAAACAAAATTTGTTTAACATCTGCAATAGTGAAATTTAGTATTTCTTTTTCTAACTCTGCACTTAAACCTGTAGATAAGTTATATGATTATCTAAATTCTTAAATAGATCGTTTGAGTTCATTTCTTTTTCTTTCACATAATTTGTCGTATTATCTCTGGATTCTATATTTGGAAACAAAATTTGTTAAACCATAAAGAGCAAAGATACCTACAGCACTAAAAAGAAATTTTTGTTCTTTGTTTGAGAACCAATTTTGTAATGTAAATTTCATTAATATATTTTTTTATTTTGTATAAGATATACTACATCAACATTCATATATATGACGATGTGTGTTTTTTTGTTTGAAATGAAATGTTTTAATGGAAATTTAATTAATATTTAGAATTGATAGTTTTTTCATACCTATTTATGTGATATATAAATCTATAAAATCAGATTGATTTTTTTATTAAATAAAATAATGGATTAGATTGAATATGTTAATCTTGAAAAGAAGAAACCTTAGATTAAATAAAATAATTAAAGAGGAAGATAAAATAATAGACCTAACAAAAATGATAGAAATAGAAGAAATCAAAGAGATAATTAACCATTCAAAAATTAAAGAAAATAATAATGGAGAAATAAGGATTAATAAAGATAAAATGTAGATTAATTAATTTTATTATTAAGCGTCCATTTTAATCTGAGAATAGAATAGTGGCAACTGGTAAAAGAAGAAGACAATTAAAATAAAGAAAATTTACTCAAAGACCTAAAGCCCCTAGAAATATTCAACCAAATGTCATTATAAAAGGATTAGATCCTAAAATGACAGAAGCAGGTTTATAAGTATTGAAAATCATTAATTATTATAGGAAGCTTGTAAAGATTTTGGCCCAATGAATATGTGCAAATTAGACAGAGATAATTTTGGACAAGTGAAGGTAATATAAATTATTAACTTTTGAACAGCCAGAAGGAATTGGCTTAATTAGGTTTACAAGAGTAGAAGATGCTAAGGCATGTGTAGAAAAGTTAGATGGTGTTACTGTGTAAATAATTGGTGAAAATAACAATGTAAATTATTGAAATACTATAATAGGAAAAAGTAATATCTGCAACCTTTGTTGGTGATTCAGAATAAGTTGACAATAATAGAAATAGAGGTGTATTGAACATTACTAAGAGACCTATAAAAAAAAGGTATTGTTTGAATAAATTTTAAATAGAGATTGGAGAAGATGAATATGAATAAACACAAATATGTTATTTTAAACAATTCAAAAATCAATCATTTAGATTTATTAAAATAAGTCATAACATTTTGATAATAGATTATAGATAAATCCTGAAAAAATGTATAATTTAGGAAATAAATATACTCCAATTATCTGGGAGTTAGACTTATTTCTGTATATTTGATGGCCTATTCATAATCTAATCTTTCACATTGTCCTGGTTTCAAATACTTTTTCTTAATAGTAAATTATTAAATGGCCTAATTGAATGAATATTAGATTTTTTCAAATATTTATTTCAATTCATTTTCAATCTAATATATTTCATGTTTTGTAAAAAGTTCATACTTTCCAATCAATTATTTAAAAATACTCAAAACTATTGATGTTTCATTACTATTTAATGCATCATATATAATATAATCTTCATTATTATCTTCAATTAAATATCTAGCTATCAATTTTCTTTGTTCATAACTTTATATTTTAAATGGTTCTTATAATAACATATCAAGCAATTCATGAATTTTTATTTAAGAATCATATCTGCTAAAAAGATCATCAATATTTTAAAGAGATATTTCTCTACTTAATAATTTAAATCTAATTTCGAATCCAAATTTTTAAACATCATAAAAATTGACTCTAATTATCTTTCTTTCTTTTCTACTACTTGTTTATACATATTTATCTCTATCATCTAAATTTGAATCCATAATATCAATCATATCCAAATTTTTTTGTATTTTAGTAATATCAATCTATTGAATATTTTACTTTTAATATTATTATTTTGATTATAAACAATTTTATTTATTTTATTAAGATTAATCTGAATCATTCAAAAAGTTTTTAATTGAATTTTATTATTTTTATTCCATTTCCATCAAAGAACTTCTTCGATCTTATTAATCTAATTGTATATACTCTAATCTATTCTTCTCCTCTTCATTTTAAATTAATTATTATTTTAAATCATCTATTTATTATTGTTTATTATTAATATCATCTTAATATTTCATTTATAATTGTTATAATCTCTCTGATAAATGGGCATTTTCAACAGATTCTTTAAATATTTATTATCTAGATTTTTGTATATAACAATTATTCTTTATTAAATTTTCAAACTATTTAATTTAATTATTTAATTTTTAAATCTCTTTTTCCTTAATACTCAATCTAACCTTAAGTGATTCTATTTAAGATATATAAAAATATTTCTCTGTTTTATATTTTGCATTTTCACTTGAATATTCATGATTTTATATTAACAAATTTTAAATTGTCTTCTATTGTAATTGATATAGATCTTCAATGGTTAATTATTATTAGTCTCTTATTTATTCTTTTAATTAAATAATTTCTTATTTTTATATTAATACTAATTATTAATAATTATATAATTCAACCTAATTATAAATGTTAAATAGAAATACTTATAATTCTTAATATTTAGTTATAAGACTCATTTTTTTTAAAGCTTCTATTTCCTTTATTTTATCAAATAAATCTAATTCCAGTTTTTTTAGTTTTTCCTTAAGCATAGTTATAAATGTTTTATTATTATCAATTGTTCCTTATAACATTGAAAATCTCTAATATTAAAATAAATTATTACTTCAAGCTAAGAGAACTTATTTTTTTAAAGTTATAAATCCTAGTTCAAAGAACTCATTGAACTTTTTAATTAATTATTCTAAAAGAAAAGTGTTTCACTTTCAGCTCTATTGTGCTTTTATAAATTATTATGTGATCTGTGATGCTTTAAGGATTATATTTATTTAAAATTATCAAGATGTGATACTTTTGTATTAACACTCTATAATTTTTAAGACATTTTAATTATTATTTTGGATTATTGTTTGTAAATTTAATAATAATAAACAATAATCATTTAATTTATTCCATTACTTTAAGCACATTAACTTAATTTAATGTTTAATTTTGTCCCTTCTTTGAATCTGCCAAACAGTATTTTATTATTAAATATCTAATAGGGTCCACTATTATTTCCATAATTAATGCAGGTAAATAGTATATAATACATAATAAATTATTGATTTCAAACCAAATTATACCAAATATTAAAACAGCTAATATGGTTAACCAAAATGTATAATTAATAATCTTTAATGTTAATACCCATGAACCTTTGCTAATTTTCTTGATCAAATGATAATCTAAAATTTTTAAAACTACATATCCTCCACATGTTGCTCCTATAATTATATAAAATGATAAATTTTATGTTTAAATTAATAATATTCCACAAATCTCAAAACAAGTAATTTATCTAAAATATATTTAAAATGTCATAAAAGTTCTTGAAATTCCATCTTTATGAGTAAAAAATATCTTAGATATTTAATGGCATTTCTAATTTTATTACTATATCTTACATAGTAATCTTTTAATGGTTTAGGAATTTTATAAATAGAGTCTACAAGTAATTTTCCATTTATTTAGAGATTAGAAACTGAAGATATTCTAGGAGTACTTATTATTCTTTATCCTGGAGATTATGCTTAAACACTATTCCTTTCACTATTAACTACTGAAGGACGTGATCTTACACTTTTTCTATTAGTTGATTATAATGTTTCTATTCCATCATAAGTACCAATATTAAGTTTCTTTACTATTGTTTGTTGTGTTTAAAATTTCTTTAAGGATCTTGTAGGAGACTTTTTATCACTGGATCTCCTTTTTGGACTTACATTTTAATCTAAGTTAACTTGTTCATTTTCTTAATTAACTTATTGATTTTATTATCCTTAGTTATTGATTACAATATTGACTCCTTCATCACCCTTTCTAAATGCTTGCTGTTTCTGTACATTTGGAACCATAATTGGATTAATTGTAAGGAGGCTGCATGAAGGAGTTATACTTTTTGTTTATGGACTTATAGATGCTAATTAATATGATTTATCAAGCAAATATCCTATAAATAAAATCAATAGAAATAGTAGAGTCCAAGCAGAAAAAAATACTATTATTAATAAGTTATTATTCATTAATAAAATTATTTAAATAGAGGATTCAAATTAAGGAATTGTCATATTACAGTCTTGACTAATCCTATTCTTAATAATATTACATGAGAATTCATATTAGATCTTATATAAAAAAGTACAATTTAATAGTATATTATAAATATATTATTTAATGTAATAAATTCGAAATTTAAACTTTGATGACATCAATAATAATATCATAATTAAAGACATCAAAAATGTATTATCTATAATATTAAGATATTTTAAATATCAAATATGATAATAAATATCTATTAATACTTTAATTATTCAAATAGCTAGATTTTATTATGATTTTTAGATAAATATTTTTATTTGGAGAACTTATATTATTATAATATATGATTATCTTAAATTTCTACATAGTATTTAAAAACTTTATATTCAGATCCAATATTTTATTGATTCATTATAAATAATCAATATCATTTTAATTCATCATGATATTAAAATAATAATATTTTTTTAGTAATTGATAGACTATTCATTTGAGAATGAAATTATATAAATAATATTATCTATTATTATTCCAAAAATAAAGTATTTTTATAGAAGATTTGAACTTTTATGAGATTGTTTATAAATTTAATTATAATAATTTAGATAAATAACATAAATGATGAGAAATAGATGTAATAAACATAAATAACAAATGATACAATTTATTTGTCTATAAGAAGATTGTCAAACTAATAAATTAGGATGTATAAGTTGTTTCCCAGATCATGATGGTCATACTAAATAAAATATGGAAATTTAGGATTTCATTGAAAAAATATAACAAAAAGATAAAGATCTTGAATTAAAGTATCTATAACTAATAAATTAAAACTCAATAAAGAAGAATAAAGAATAAATAATTAGATCTATTTAATAATAATGCAAAGCAATTTAAAGTAGGGCATTTAGTTTTATTGATCGTCACTGTGAAGCTTTAGTTAATAATGTTTAAAATAAGAATCTCAATGATTCAAGTTCATAATTAAAAGTTAAAGCTTATCATGATGAACTTGAAAGAATAAAAAATAGATCAACAAATACGTTAGAGAATAAAGTATTTTAAATTATGAAATAAAATAGGAGATTGAATTCTTGATTAACTTTGTTTTAACTAATGATTATTAAGAAATGATTGCCAATGCTATGTAAATCAAAGATAAGAATATTTAAGAATTCACTTATGATATTAATTAAGTGATCAATTTAATAGATGATTAACTATCAGAACTTTACAATTAATTAGATTCTCAATTATCATCTTAATAAATTGCTACTTCACCATCATTTGATTAAAAAAATAAATACTTTCAACATAATTATTCATTTACTCTTGGAATCTTACCTAAAAGTCCAAATCCAAATTCAACATAAGGTAAGTCAAAATCTCCTTTAAGACTAACATCTACAAATTAATCAAGAATAAAGACTCCTGAATCAAACAAAAAATAAATACCTTAAATTGGATCAAATAGCAAAATTTAAATATCAAAATTTCTTGTGACTTCTCCTCCTCTTAAAGAAGAGGATGACTTTATTACTAAAAATAAAAATCTAGAATCATTAATTACAAATGTATTAATGATTCATCTACCAGCTAAATATTTAAATGATCACTTACAATTTTTAAAAACTAATTATGCTGAATTCTAAGATTATAATGTAATTACCCAACAGGAAAAAATTTAATTAATTGAAGAACTTAACTCTTAATTATTATATCTATTATGGGATAATTTAATGATAGAATGGTTAAAGCCTTCTTTTAATTTTAATATATTATAAATTAAAGTTTATGAAATTGAAAATAACTTTAGTTCATTTCTAGAATTATTTGATAAGTAATTAAAAATGTATGACTTTGTTGCTTATTTAATCAAATAAAAAGTTAATAAACCAAAAATTGATTATTAGACATGGTTCATTATAGCAAACAAATCAACAAATTCATATAAAATGTATAATATTAAATCAAATGGAAAAAAAGTCAATAAAGAATTAACTATTGAAGATTAATCATTCTCTTGTATTGATCAATTGAAATCTGCTAATGTCTATGCATAATTTCCAAAAGTCCTTTAAGATCATCTAAATGGAAGTTTTACAATTGAGAAAGATCTCAAAATTATTATCAAAGGAATCATAGATCCTAATTTCTAAACATAACTTTTAGCTGAAAGATTATAAGTAATAATTTGACTAAAAACAATTTAGATTTTATTAAATTTATTTATGAATCCTTAAGTTGTTGCTAATCCTACATTTTAGAATATTGAAAAACATTTTGATTAAGTTTTGATAAATTTCAAGTATTTTATTAACTACATTAATCTATCATTAAAAGATACACTGTAAAACTGATTTTATATTTATGATATACTTTAATATTATATAATAAAATAGAATATAAGTCATTTCATAAATTTATATTTTTAATCATTAACAAATTATATTTACCCTTCTAAAGCTATACTCAATTCTTGGTTTTCTTAAGCAAATTTACTTTTTTAACTTTGGAAACTAATTGATCTTGCTTTAAATTAAGGAGTTGTTAATAATTCAATAGAATTCCAATCATATATGTAATCTTCAGTAATATTTTATTTTATTAAGACTTCTCTTAATTAATTAATAAGTTTGTTATGATCGGGTAAATCATTATTCTAATTTTATTCAACAAATTAAAATATAGTATATATTGGAAGCTGTATAGTTGATTTAGCATCTATAAATTCTTGTTTCATTTACATTATTCGAGATTCTCTACCATCTATATATTTTTACCATGGTAATTAACCTACTTATTGATTAAATATTTACCTTTCATTAATTCAACTAAGCAATAACCTGCCATTTCTATATCATCTATGAAACGATATTCTTAACGTCTGTGCACTATGCGAGGATCATATAATATTGTGCCATCAACATATTTATCAGGTAAAGGATCATTTTGAAATAGCGAAATCCCAAAATCTATTAGATATATAGTTGAATCTTAATCATACATTGTGAATACCAGAATTTTTAGTCATCAAATTTTATGGTTTTATATCTCTATGACGAATACCATTTTTATGAATTAAACTTAAAACTTGAATTATTTTAATAGCAATCAAGATCGTTGTTTTTATTGAAAAACATTTTTATTTGGATGAAATAGTTTGCATATCTTCATTTAAGAACTCCATTATAATGTAATAAGTATTATTTAACTACCCAAAATTATAGACTTAAGGAACTCCTTAACAGTTTTATAATTAATTCAAAATCCTATATTCCTTTTCCATATTTTCTTTTGAGTACTTGATAGCTACAGGCTTATTTGTTTTTATTTCAATTGCTTTATAAACACACCCAAATCCTCCAACAGATAATTCATTTAATAATTTATAGCCATCAACAGGGTATATAACAGGTTAGTTCAAAGCTTGTGCTGTTTTTTTTTCTCTAGGTTTTAAAGCTGATGCAGATTATTATTTAATTAGTTTCATTTACATTAAAAATATTTAAAGCATTTGCTTATACACTCTGCCATAAATAGACACTTTAATCTTTGGTTCAGTTAAAACTTCCATAATATTCTTTTATTGATCTTCTTTAATAGAAATATAACCACTAATCTTTCTATTCAGTCACAAAAGTACGAAAATTAATGATAATTAACTTTTTGATGAATACTATAAAATTTGAATCTAAATTATTGTATTAATATATTCATAATAGATAATAACGTACTAATTTATTAGTTCTGTGATTAAGACAAATTTACTATAAATTAATACCTTATATTAAATTAGAAGCTAAATATATAAGCATAGATAATTTAACTACAAATATTTAACATATATATATACTATTAAAATTGAGTATTATTAATTATATTTATAAAATAATTATGTATGAAATTCTTAAGATTGTAGATAACTATATATCATTAGTTTTGTTAACCTTTCAATCTTAATCTTTTTATATTTATAATTAAGTAAATTAGAATTATAATATTAATATATTCATGATATAAAATGAATAGAATTGGAATTAATTGTAATAATAATATCCTTAATAAGATGATCATTGTGAATTATATAAATTACATATCAAAAGTGATTTGGCTAATTTTTATTATAAAATTTAAGAAAAATTACATCAATATTATGAGGATACATTTACTTCATTTGCTTATTTTAATGCTATATTCAGTATTGGTTGTTCTTTTATTATTGGTTTTTATTTGAGTAAAGATTTCTGTAAAATTAACATATTATTGATAAGTTTAACAATACAAAATATATATTTTGGATCTCATATAAAATTTAAATTAAGAGTGATTTTATATCAAAATTAGACATATTATTTGGGTTGCATCTAGAATTATGGATTTTACTTTAATTTATTTTTTATAAGAATGCTAATAATTTCAATATTTTTAATCAATCAAGACATAAGTTATTCTTATTTCTACATAATATATTGAAAATTCAATAATGATAGGTTTATCTTTTATTTAAATTGCTTAAGTTGATAAACTACATTAAAAAATATTTATATTCTGTTTGAAATTAGATCAAATCTAAGATAATTACAAGAAATCTCAGGCATATTTAGAATTATGTAATAAGGTTTTAAAAGATTTGTTAAATATCAAAAATATTAGATTTTTTCATTATTAATAAAAACTAAATTTTTCATATATAATTATAATTTATATATAAAAAGAATTACAATAAATATGTTTATTTTGATTACTTTAATCATTAATTTTTGTTTAGGAATGATTTTACCATTTTTTACAAATAAAATTAAAAAAATATATCTAAACTTAAATGTAAGACAACTCAAAAGATTTTAAGAAGGATATTTTAAAAAAATCAAGATTAAAATTCATATGAATTAATTGGTAAAATTGGTCTAATAATTTAATAAATTATTCTATTAGTAATTTATTATTTTGAACTTTTTAAATACTTTTCTTTTAAATTTTGAATGTATTTATTTATTAATAGTTATACACATATTACTAGTATTTCTAAGTGATTGAGCAATTATAACATGAAGTAGTCTTATAAACTAAATGAACTCTTGAAGAGATTAAGGATTAAGAATAACATAATATATATATGCAAAAATATTGAAGCCATATTGACATGGAAATATCAATAGCATTATAAATAATAAAACAAATTAGGGATTTCAATCGTAGGTTTAACAATTTGAATAATTCCAGTTTAAAATTTAATCGAACTTTTATTAAATGGATATTTAATATTTATTATATTAATTCTTCTTTCTCCTCAGTTTTCACTTACATCATCAAAACGAATGTCATCTCAAATTACAAAAAAGCCATCTTTAAAGCTCTAATTAAACAAGAAGACATTGGATACTTTGGCAAAGGAGAAAGCTAATGTTCCTCCTAGCTCCAAATGCTCTTAGAAGACAGTGTCATCTATAAATGTAAATATAAACCACTATAACTCATATAGACTACCAGCTGTACATCATCATCTTCTAAATAAAATTACCCATATAAGGAATCAAAGTCTAATGCCTCCAAAAATTAAGAAGAACATTCATAAATAATTCAATATTTGCTCTAAGAAAATATTGAATTACATAAACAGAACCAAGACAAGGATTAATTGATTAATTTCTTAAGTAATAAACACTCACCTAAGAGAAGATCAATATTAAACACAGAAAGAAGCACTGAAATCAAATCTTCCAAACTTCCTTAGATTTAATAAGCTAAAAGTTCTCTAGAGATAGATAAGTAATTATTTCTCTTAATTCAAACTTAGTTTAAACGATGGAGTCTGTACACCATTCTGTTTTACATTTTGTCAATAAGATACTTAAAGTTAATAAAGTATAAGAAATAAAAAGTTGCCTAAAGAATTTTAAATTGTACCAAACAAAAAAAGATATTTTGTATGATTATAGAAAGTTAAATAATGATGATATTATATTTCAATATTTGTGTATATATTCAAAAAAATCGATAAAATTAGAATCATCTTCATTTTCATTTCTCTTAAGAAAATTTAGATTAAAAACAGCGTTTTTTAACATAAGTTATACATCATACATTCTATATTTATAACTTCATATAAACTAAAAATAATTGTCCAATTGTTTTCTTAATAATTAATAAATTACCTTCATATATGTAAATCATTTTATTTAACTCCATTAAGATCATAATCATCAGTTAAATAAACTTTTTACCTTATTTTATTATTATTTATCATTTAACTATTGAAAACTATTTCAATTTTCTATATTAAACTTTATAAAAATCATCTCTTAAAATTACTATATTGTATTTGTTTTATGATGAATGATATGTTTATACTATATTTATCAATAGCAATTTATATAAAATGACTATAGATTTTGTTTTATTATGTCTCAAATAATACATAATCAAAATTTGTTTTTATTTGATTATAAGAAACTAAATTATAGAATAAGATAATCATATTATAAAATATTACGTAATGATATTCATTATCCTATTAAATCAAATTCTATATTTTGTATTTATTACATCTAATTAATAAAAGTATAAGCATAAACAAGATGAATATATGAAGATCAATAAATAATTGTTCTTGAACTCTATAAAAAAAATATAAATAAATAATACGATATTTTTATTTATTTAATAAACAAACAATTTCAACTTTATGTTAAGGTTTTTGGAGTTGTTCCAATGTCCATAATAATTTCTCTATGAGTGGTCCAAGTTTAGATTATAGCTTCTGGTGAACCGATACCAGTACCTCTTGGATCTCCACAAGGTCCAAACCAGTGATTTTAAGGAGCCCCTGTAGTTCTGGCTTTGATACCTGCGTATGTTACTCCATTAATTGTATTAGCTAATATTTTTTAAACAAATCTAATATCGTTAGAAACTACTCCTGCTGTCAAATTATGAGGTATATATTCAAGTATTTCAATGACATGATCTTCATTTTCATACTCAGTAACAACTTAAAATGGTCCAAATACTTCTGTTGTAACTAACTCAAAATTGTCTTTGATTTATTATAAAGGAATATAAACAGCTGTAGGTAGGTAAGAACCGTAGCATTCTGGTATCTTATGTTATTCACTAATAGGCTTTCCACCAAAAAGAACTTTAGCACCTTAAATAGCTATTAATTTATCAAGATGTGCTTAAATTCTTTGATTATTCCATGTAAGTATAGGACAAATAGTTAAATCTTTTAGATTTCTCTATTCTGCTAATAATTTAATTTTATCAAGAATTCCTGCTTGAACCCTAAAATTATGATATAGTAATACCAATTTTTATGTGCAAATAATATTGATTAAGCACTACATTTCTGACCACTGAATGCATAAGCATCTTAGTCACTTTGATAAGCAACATAATCAAATTCAATAACATCTGGTCCAAGTATTTTCCAATCAAAACCAGCATCTTCAATTTTAATTTTTCCATTCATAACATTACACAATCTTTCAGCAATACCAGAGGAACCTGTAAATTACAATAATCTAAAATTAGTTCTTTTGAGTAATGATTCCATTTAGGGACCATCACAATGAATCAAATCACAATCTGTTGGAGGTAATCCAGCTAAATGAAGCAATCTAAGAAACATCTCCAAAACAACTGATACTCTTTAATCTCCTTTAATTGTTAATCTATTTCCTGTAAGTAAAGCTCCCATCATTTAAAGAGCAGGTATTTCAAGAGGGAAATTAAAAGGTGCAATAATAGCAACAGGTCCATATGGGAATCTATATCCACTTGATTGTTATCCTTATACATCCCCACTTACATTAAAGGATCTGGTTAAAAAACGACATTAATCTCCAGAGAAATTCATTAAAAATCTTTGAGTGACTTTAACTTCTCCTCTTGCTTAGATTTCACTTTTTGGAGCAACTCTTTGTATCAAATGAACAAAATAATCTTCAACTTGAGGTAATCCTAAAAGGAATGAAGCTCTATGAAAGATTTCTCCATATAGATTATATCTTTCAGGATTTTTGAGTGGATTATGAAGACCAGTTTTAGGACATTATTTGGCAGCATCACTATATTCATTAATTTCTTCTTCAGTCTAAAATATTAATAATAATGAAATACTAAATTGTTTGGAACAAGAATGAACTTATCACCATTAAGAGGATCTAATATTTCTAGATAATTTGAAGCATATTTCCAAATTCCATTGACTAAATATATATATAAAATTTTAACTAAAATTCATGGCTCTATATGGATTATTCTCACTTAAGTCTGTCAAATTAAGAGGGAATGTATTTTGTATAAAATTTGGATTTGATATTTTTTCTTGGATTTTTGTATTCATTAATTAAATGAGTTAAGAAATTCAATAATTTAGAGCAACTTTACCTATAAATGAATTCAAATAAGAAATTTTGAAATAAATTTAAGATAATACCTTTATTATAATAACTGGTGATACAGGTTCAGGTAAATCAACATAATTACCTCAATATCTTTTGGATGATGAAGAATTTAGATTGAACATTTGTTAGAAAAGAAAAAAGTTCTTAGAGGAAAGAGTAGAAGAGAAAGAACAACCTAAAGTATAGGGATTCTTGTCGAAGAAGTTAAAGCCTTTTGTACCAGAGGATAGAATAAATTCAACTGATTTAAAGATAGTAGTAACATAACCAAGAAGAATGGCTGCTATATCAATGGCTAAAAGAGTAGCATTTGAGAGAAATGTATAATAATATCATATTATCAATCAATAGCAAAACTTAGGGATAGAAGTAGGATATTCAATAAGGTTTGACAATTCCACTACTAATACAACTTAATTAAGATATGTGACAGATGGTATATTGGTTAGAGAATGTTTGTAAGATAAAGATTTAACAGGATATGATGTAGTAATTCTAGATGAAGCTCATGAAAGATCTCTTTATACAGATGTTCTATTTGCATTAGTGAAGACAGCAGCAAAAAGAAGAAAAGGAAGTTTAAAAGTTATTATAACATCTGCAACATTAAATATTAATATATTTAAGAACTATTTTGAAGGATGTCCATATGTTAAAGTTCATGGTAAATCATTTCCTGTTGAAGTTAAATATGCTGAACATAATATAACCTAATAAAAAAGAAATCATGATGCTGTAAATGCTGCAATTAGAATGCATTTACATGAAGGTCCAGGAGATATCTTAGTATTTCTACCAGGAAGTGAAGATTGTGAAGTTTGTAGAAAATTCTGTTATGAGAGATTAGCAGAAGTATTAAACTCAGGAGTTGAAGTTCCTAGTGTTTTATTATACACATTATATGGTAGTCAGACTTCTGAAGATCAAAGTTAAGTATTTTAAAGAGCAGATGAACATACTAGAAAAATTATATTTTGTACAAATATTGCAGAAACTTCTTTGACTATTGATAATATTGGATTTGTTGTAGATACTGGTTATGTCAAATAAAAAGTATATAATCCAAGGACTGGCATGGATTCTTTAATCATTTAACCTATATCTAAAACATAAGCAATTTAAAGGACAGGTAGAGCAGGTAGAACATAAGCTGGAAAATGTTATAGATTATTTTCTAAATAATTTTATGAATCATTATCAGAACATACAACTGCAGAAATTATGAGAGTTAATTTAGCATCTGTAATGTTACTACTTAAATCAATGGGAATAGATGATGTAGTGAGATTTGAATTTATGGAATAACCAACTCAAGAAGCTATCTTATAATCTTTAAGATAATTATATCTAATATAAGCAATTGATGAAGATGGATATATTACACCTATGGGTTATGAAATGTCTCGATATCCTTTGGAACCAAGTTATGCCAAAGCTTTGATAACTTCAAAAATGATGGAATGTTCAAATGAAATGAGTGCTATTGTTGCTATTTTATCAACAGAAAGCATTTGGTAAAGAATTACAAGAGTAGATGTAGATGGATATTAAAAATTATAAGAAATTTAATCATAACATGCTGATCCTGCTGGAGATCATTTAAGTTTATTGAAAATATTCTCAGAATGGAAATAAGCCACATTTAATGAACAATTTGCTAAGGATACTCTATTAAATTTAAGATCTTTAAAATAAGCAGACAATATTCGCTAATAGTTATAATAATTAGTTGAAGGTACTAGTAAAAAGAAATGTTTATTATTTTATGATCAAGATTATCTATATAAATTATTTAGAAAATAGAAGGATTCAAAAAAATGGAATATAAATGAAAGTATTAAATTAGCATTATGTTCTGGATTTTATTTTAATACTGCTCGTAAAATGCATAATGGTGAAGATACTTATTTGATGGTATATCCTGAAGGAACAGTTGTAGATACAGATCCTTAGAGTGTCTATACAGTAATTCAATAATATCCTGAGACTGTAATATTTACTGAATTGGGAGGTACATCTTAAGTAAGAGGAGTTATGAAATTAATTAGTGAAATCAATATAGAATGGGTTAAACCCTACTTTTCAAATATGGTGAAAGTATAAATATGGTTATTAATTTTAGGTTGATCTATTCAAACTGGCTAGAATTGAATTCTAATAAAGAGGAAGAGATGCTGTTTAAGAAAGAAGATAAAAGAAAATCTAAGAATAAGAAAAGTAGAAAGATTTGGAATAAAAATAGAAATTAGAAAAACATTAATTATATAAGGCAAGATTTGAATAAAGAAAGAAGGTTAAAATGTGAATAGAATAATGTTATTTTTATAATAAATCATTCCTTATAGACTGATAATCTTTTTTAAATTGATCTTTTATTTTCATGATTATCATCTAATACTGAACCAATTCTGACACTACTTTTACGACGTAATTTACTAGCAATTGTTTCATCTAATTTCTCTTCTTCAATCTCTTCTTCAGCAAAGATATTTATTCCATTAAACCATTTTGAAGGAAGAGTTCTTACAAATATTGCTACTATCATGCCACCCAAAGCAAATATCCAACAAAATATATGTTACCATGCAGTCAAATCACAAACAACAGCAAATTTATCTCCAAAAAGAATCAATAAATATTAAACTCCTACTTCAATTAAATTTATTAACCAAAATAATGAATTATTGAATAATCCACTAAAAGGATTTAGAGATACTTCATCTAATTTTCTGCAACTGATGGAATTGCAAATTTACATCAATACAAATGTTTAAAAGAACATTGTTAATCTTTATATTGGTCTACCTTCATATTCCTCATCCAAAGATTCATCAAAATCAAAAACTGAGTTTGGAATAAATAAGATTAAACATAAAATAAGAATTTAATAGATACTAGCTCCAATAACTGTTCTATACATAATAGAATTTACTATGCTTTCTCTTTTACCATAAGGTTTTCTATTTAAAAGTCTATCACTAGGAGGTTCAGTAGCTAAAGCTAAAGATGCAAAAGTATCCATAATTAGATTAACCCAAAGCATTTAAATACTTGTTAAAGGTGCTTCCTTAGTAACAGCTGCTCCTAATACACTCATAAATAATGCAACAACATTAACAGTTAATTAAAATTAGATAAATTTACGAATACAATTATAAATATTTCTTCCCCATTTACATGCTGTAATTATAGAACTAAAGTTATCATCCAATAATATAATATCTGCAGCATCTTTACAAACATCAGTACCTGTTATACCCATAGCAAATCCAACATCAGCTTTTCTTAATGCAGGTGCATCATTAGTTCCATCTCCAGTCACTGCAATTACATTATCTAATTATTTTAATCCTGTTGCTAATATAAATTTATCTTCAGGTGTTGCTCTTGCTAATACTTTTAAATGTACTGCAATTTCTTAAAATTTTAAAAGATTCTTAACTTCTTATACTTCAACTCCATCCTTAACCACTTTATTTAAACCTCCTGTTAATTATCTAAATTAAGATCCTTCCATTGCTTCATATTCATGTAATTCACTTTCTGGTCCTAAAATCTTGCAATCTCTTGCAATAGCTTTAGCTGTATTAATGTTATCACCTGTTACCATTCTAACTATTATTCCTGATCTATAACATTATTAAATAGCACTTGGAACATCTGGTCTAACAGGATCTTTAATACCAGCTATATTTATTAAAGTTAAATCATTCAAAAGATACTCTTCTGGAATAGAATCAAAATCATATTCAAGATGATAATTTAATATTTTGTATGCATTTCCTAATGTTCTAAGTGCTTAACTAGCATAATCTTCAATTATTGTTAGCATATTTTTTGAATCTTAAGCTGTTAATTAGACTTCTTCTCCATTTGAGTTTATAAATTTAGTACATTTTTTTAATACCATTTCAGGAGCACCCTTACTAAACAAATATATCTTATTATTATGATTAACAATAGAAATCATCATTTTTCTTTTTGAATTTAAAGGAATTACTCTCAAAATATTATCAGATGGTCTATAACTTGATAATTAATAACCTAACATATCACAAAATTCTATTAAAGCACATTCAGTTTTATTTCCTATTTATTCAAATTTTCCATTAATCCCTTTTTTTGGATATGCACTTGAATTATAGAGATTACTGGCTGCTAATAGATCTAAATAATCTTTTTCTAAATTTTTGATTTATGGTAATTAATAATCTTTATAATTAACACTTTAACAAAAAAATGAATTGACTTGCATCGTATTCAATGTTAGAGTACCAGTTTTATCACTACAAATATTATTGACTCCTCCCATTATTTCACATGATGCTAAAGTTTTAACTAAATTTTATTCATCTTTCATTTTATTCACAGAGAAGGCCAATGTAATAGTAACAGCTAAAGGTAATCCTTCTGGTACAGCTACAACAATAATAGTAACACCAATCATGAAAAATTTAAGTATTCTCTATAAACAATCAATATGCCAAAATTATTCCCAAAAAGTTAGATCATCATTTGTTCCATATTCAATGAATAATCGAACTAATAGAATGATGAATGTTAATATTGCCACAACAACACCTACTTTACCTATTGTTTCTGCTACTGCTTCTAATTTCACTTATAAAGGAGTAGGTGTATTATCACTTTCACCTAATTTCTTCATTTCATTCTGCACTGTTTTATCACCCACTAAAAATAATTTAATTTTTTATCTCATTACCTTACAAAACCAACATTACTCCTGTTCCTTCATTAACCTTTGTTCCTGACATTAAAAATGGAGATTTGCCTTTCTAATCTTTCAAACATACTTCAACTGATGCCTTTGACATTTCATCCGACTCCCCTGTCATTGCTGATTCATCTATCTTTACTTCACTACCACTTAAATATAATCCTAAAATCAAATCTAATACTTACCATCCACATTAAAAATATCTCCTAATTAAAATAACAAGACGTCACCAACAACAATATCCTTATTGTTTATTGTTATTATGCTTCCTCCTCTCTTTACTTAAACATGTCCCTCATCAAGCTTCGATTATAATTTAGCAAATTGTCTCTCTTTGGCATAATTGTTACCGGCTGTAATTCCAATGATCAAGAAGATTGCCAAAAATATTGTTAAGCTAACTTATCTAATTATAAATTTACCCTTCATACCATCCACCTTCACCTTCTATAATCCCTAATATTGTAGATACAATAGCTGCAACAATTAAGATTTACAACATTGTATCCCCCAAACACTCTACAATTAATTTCCATAAAGGTGTTAACTCTTTTACTATTGGTAAATTGGCTCCGTATCTATTTCTCAGTGTAATTGCTTATTCTTCATCTTGTACACCTTTCTATGCTATTCAAAATTAATAATACCTTCAAATCAACTTAAAATATTTTTGCCAATCCTTGTTCTCCACCTAATTATTAAACAAGTCCTAAAGAAACCCCTTCTCGGATATTGTCAAGTTTAAACAAATTTTTGAAGTCTCCATCCTCTCCTTATCGAACTAACTCAGAATCAGAGTTCTTTTCAATGAGATTTACTCTGCTCATTTTTAATTATGAATTTTATTAGAACTAAATTATTTTATTAAACTTATCAATCAATCTTAAAATATGGATAGTGTATACAATAAACTTAATATATAATGATTCGAACTCAAGATTATATAGATGTCTTAAGTAAATTAATCTTTATTAGAAAAATATCAAAAATAGTTAATATTTAAAGGATATATTTATTTTTCAATTAAAATGTTTTTATAATATGTTAACTTATGATTTATGAATAACTTACATAATATAATATTGATTTTAGTATTAGAAAAATGGATTCAGATTTGATGTTAAAATTGAAATAAAAATTAATTAATTAATATCTTTTTATAAATATTATCACTCATTTCTAATTAGATTATTATATANTTATCACTTTCACCTAATTTCTTCATTTCATTCTGCACTGTTTTATCACCCACTAAAAATAATTTAATTTTTTATCTCATTACCTTACAAAACCAACATTACTCCTGTTCCTTCATTAACCTTTGTTCCTGACATTAAAAATGGAGATTTGCCTTTCTAATCTTTCAAACATACTTCAACTGATGCCTTTGACATTTCATCCGACTCCCCTGTCATTGCTGATTCATCTATCTTTACTTCACTACCACTTAAATATAATCCTAAAATCAAATCTAATACTTACCATCCACATTAAAAATATCTCCTAATTAAAATAACAAGACGTCACCAACAACAATATCCTTATTGTTTATTGTTATTATGCTTCCTCCTCTCTTTACTTAAACATGTCCCTCATCAAGCTTCGATTATAATTTAGCAAATTGTCTCTCTTTGGCATAATTGTTACCGGCTGTAATTCCAATGATCAAGAAGATTGCCAAAAATATTGTTAAGCTAACTTATCTAATTATAAATTTACCCTTCATACCATCCACCTTCACCTTCTATAATCCCTAATATTGTAGATACAATAGCTGCAACAATTAAGATTTACAACATTGTATCCCCCAAACACTCTACAATTAATTTCCATAAAGGTGTTAACTCTTTTACTATTGGTAAATTGGCTCCGTATCTATTTCTCAGTGTAATTGCTTATTCTTCATCTTGTACACCTTTCTATGCTATTCAAAATTAATAATACCTTCAAATCAACTTAAAATATTTTTGCCAATCCTTGTTCTCCACCTAATTATTAAACAAGTCCTAAAGAAACCCCTTCTCGGATATTGTCAAGTTTAAACAAATTTTTGAAGTCTCCATCCTCTCCTTATCGAACTAACTCAGAATCAGAGTTCTTTTCAATGAGATTTACTCTGCTCATTTTTAATTATGAATTTTATTAGAACTAAATTATTTTATTAAACTTATCAATCAATCTTAAAATATGGATAGTGTATACAATAAACTTAATATATAATGATTCGAACTCAAGATTATATAGATGTCTTAAGTAAATTAATCTTTATTAGAAAAATATCAAAAATAGTTAATATTTAAAGGATATATTTATTTTTCAATTAAAATGTTTTTATAATATGTTAACTTATGATTTATGAATAACTTACATAATATAATATTGATTTTAGTATTAGAAAAATGGATTCAGATTTGATGTTAAAATTGAAATAAAAATTAATTAATTAATATCTTTTTATAAATATTATCACTCATTTCTAATTAGATTATTATATATGATCAATGTAAAAAAAATCTAACTTTACATCATTTTTATTATTTTTCTTTATCACAACTTTTTTATTTAATCATTATATATGTGTTATATTAGATATTATCTTAGTCTTACTAAAATCCATCATAATTTCCATTAAAAATATATTCAATTTTTAATCAATAAATAAGTTATATAATAACTATATAGATATATGACATAAAAGTAAATCGAATATAAATATTAAAGTACTAAATATTTATATTAATAAGTATTAACATAAATATTGAATATCTCTATTACTTTTTAATAGCTTATCTAATAATTAGTTATCCTTGATTCTATCTTCATTTAGTTTGATTTATAAGTTTATATTAATAACTATATTCAAAATTTTTTCTCTATCTTGTTAAATATAACGAGCTATTTAACATTAATTTAATAAATAAATGAACAGATAAAGTAATATAAAATCAGAATTAGATCAACTGACAAAACATGTAAATCATTTGAATAATTTTTTAATAGCATACATCTGTTGATAAATCGAAAGAGAGAAATCACACTCCAAAAGTTAAATGTTGTTCAAATAAATATTTATTGAATTCTTCTACAAAATAAAACCTCAACAGATCCTACAATAGCAACTAAAAAGTCCACTCCAAATTATAATCAAAAGCAACCTCTGACATCAAATAGAAATTATTAGATGAAAGTAAATATTCTATTATTATCTTAAAATAATAGTTCTTAGAGGATCTCATTCATAATTCTCGTAAAGCTATCTAACAAGTATTATACAAGATAAAATTGTTAACAAACCCTAAAAATATCATACCTCTGATGATACATCAAGTTTTACATTACCGGAAAAAGAATTTAATATTAAAACACCTTTTCTCTAGATTGACATCTTTACTGCTGAAGAATGCAAGAAACAATAGGATTCAATAACAATTACTAAATTTTAAGAACTATTGGAATAACTTGAATTAAAGGAAGTAGAATTGAAAGTCAATGTGTTTTCTAATCTCAAAACCTTATTCTTAATATTAGCAAAATAAATATAATAGAAATTAGCATCTTAGATGAATGAAATTACTAAATTGTAAAATTTTAATACTGAATTATAATAATAACAAAAAATCTTATAAGATAGGATCTAAGAATAGAAATAAATTACAATTAAAACAGAAGAAACCCTAAATTCTCTTTTATTTACACTTCGATATACAAATTTAAATAATCCATAAATAATTGAATAACATACTGATTAAGTTGAAACATAAAAGCATTAATCAGATAACAAGAACTTTGAAGAAAATATATCAATGATGTCAGAAGAATCAGCTCCATTTGGAAAATTTTATAATTACTATATTAAAAAATAATAGGATCCATAAAATAAAAGAGCATTAGGTTTAACTCTAAATTTGAACTCCTTAAAAAATCCATAAACAGCTCCAATAGGATATTAAGAAGAATTTATGGCAAATCTTAATGAATTTAGTGAAAGTTGGAGATAATAAGCAATTAAAGAATAGAGATTTTGAAATATGCAATGATTTTCGTTAAATAAATTTTGCATAAATTTATTAATTAATATATTTCATGATAAGACCTAATTATTTAAAATTATTTCTGTTTAATCATTTTATTTTTCTTAAGATTCTTAAGCCAATTATTATTCACTACAATTTAATTCGATTCTATTAATGAATATTCTAAGAAATACATTGTATTTTTATTGTCCATTTAAATATTTATGTTTTTTTATGTAATTTCATTTGGTATAACTTCTGGTATGACATTAAGAACATTAATTTATGGATTTACTTTTTTGGTATTAGGTTTTACTATGAATTCATAAGTTGTAATTCCTTTAATTGAAAGATAAATATGGAAAATGAATAATTAAAGGAGTAATATAGAAAAAATAAATGAATCCACAAGCATAATTATTGAGAGTGTGTATTTTATATCTAAATCATTTTCATCATAAAAATGCTTAAACTAATATGAAATTTGTTACAAACTTTTGAATTTCATTGTCTATTTATAGTTTTTCATATTCAGTATTATATAATATGATAATTCTGATATAAACAATCTATGTGTAAAAGAATTGAAACATGGTTGATGTTATCATCATCATAAAAATTTTATAATTTAAAATCCCAACACAATTATTAACCCATTTACAATGATGATCAAAATCTTGACAACATCTAAAATAATAAATTAGAATAACCTATTACAATGTTTACAATGCTTTGTATTTTCTTTCACATATGCTTCACAAATATCACAATATGAATCTAATTTGTAATTTTCATAATTGAAATGTTTTCTATATAAATGGATAATTATACCCATTTTTGCGATACTGTATTTGCATTATCAAAAATTAATCAGTTGGACAACTAAGAGTAGTTTTAATACTAGAAAACAATGATAGTAAAGTTAAAAGTCCTAATAGTATATAATGTATAACCTAATAACCAATAATACACTTACTGATTCATCGAGTAAAGATATTAATAGAAAACAGTTTAAGATATTTGGAAAGTAAAGCAAGTAAGTTAGTGATTAATAGAGAGTCGGAGTTTAAGTGCAACCATGTCGAAGATAATTATTTTATTTCATTATAAAATAAATATAATTATTTTGTATCAATTAATAACTCTAAAGGAATTGATAAGATAACAAGAACCTAATTCAATCTATTAAATTTCTAAAAAAATAAGAGTAGAGATAAAATATATTACAATAACATAATAGTCTAAATTATTTACTAGAATTATCTAATTACTTATAAATTCTATAATTTTAGTATCAAAAATATGTATATAACAAATACATGATTCCTTTTAAAACTTTCAATGTATTTTATTATAATACGTAATTGATTAAAAATTCTTCATACTCCATATAGAAATTTAAGTAATTTAAAAAATAATACCATGAAAAATGATGATAGTGCATTCTATAGTGTTGTCTATCAAGATATCTATGACCCATACCCTTTATCAACTGATTTACCATCATCTGGAAATGAAGTCCCTTTTAAACAATTAAGGTTATCCTATGCTTTGAAATAATTAGTGGTGATGAAGCAATCGAGAAAAGTTACATGGAATCTAATTGTTAATCATCTATATGGGCAAAAAGAGGATCTAAAGCATCCTTTATATTGACAAGCATAACTATTATGAAGAGCATGGTTGGAGTTGGAATTTTAGGAATTGTACTTTAATTTGTTATAATAGCCAAATGTAATGAAAAATTTTGGTGTAATATTAACAATAGTTATAATGATGATTGTATATTCTTTAGGTATGACAGCATCTAGAGTATTATTGAAATGTAAGAATTTAAGCAAAAAAAGTAATTATTCAACAATTGGATATTATATATTTCGTCACAGTTGGATCATATATACAGTTAATTTAATTATTACACTCTCAAATATAACTACATGTTTAAGTGAATTGATGTAAATAAATATAAAATAAACTAGAATTTTTGGAGATGCCTCTTAATTGTTAATTAAATTTTATAAGGGAGATGATTATGAAGTTCCATTTTATTTATCAAGAACTTTTTTACTATGTATTCTTGGACTTGTTCTTACACCTCTTTTAATTGTAAAATCAATAGAAAAACTAAGATTTGTCAGTTTAACTGCAATTCTTTCAATTAGTACTTTTACTGGTTTAGCATTTTATAATTTCTTTACTAAAGAAGGAACACCTGAAGGTATATTGATATTTAGATATAGGATTTTCTTTATTGATTCCATAAACATTCAATTTTAAAAATGCTATGAGTGCACTTCCAACATTACTTTTAGCATATAATTGGCAATTCAATTTATTCCCTATCTTTAAAGGAATGGAGAATCCAACAGATATAAAGATGACTTATGCTATGTTTACTGGATATTCAATGGCTTCATTTTTATATCTATGTGTTGGTGTATTAGGATATGCCACTTATGGAAATGATGTATATATTTTATTATATTATTAGATCTAAACTAATTATTTAAAGAGTATTAAAGCTTAAGAGGTTGGATCATTATTGTATGTTATTTTGAATATAACTTTTGTGGTATCAACAACATTAACGTTACCTGTATTATTTTTTGGGGGAAGAAACAATTTCATTTAGATTTATAAGCAATTAACTTCAGAGAAAAAAACTGTTTAAGAAGTTAAGAGTTATAAATAGTTTTTGGATGAAACTAATTCTAAAAGATAAGAGAAAATTATAGAGATTAAATTGAAAAAGAAATCATAAAAACTTAGATTTTATTTATTAACACTTAGTTTATTTTTATTATTAATGTGTGGAGCTATATTTTTAGATAATCTTGCTTTAGTTTTTAATATAAAAGGAGCAGTATTTTGTAATTCAATTTAATTTGTATTGCCAAGTTTATTTTATATTAAATTGGTAGAGAAGGTTAAGAAATTCAGATTCAAAAGTAAATAAAAATAATATTTTTATTATGGTATAAAAATATTATTTGGAATGAGTTGGGTATTTTTGATTACTTGTGTTGTATGTGGAACAATGGCAGCAAGTCATTGATTTATTTAATTTTAATTATTTAAATAAACAATTTTATAATATTAAGTAAACTATATTATAATTGCTCTTTTTGAGTGATAAATTTGTTATCAAATCAATAATTATTGGAAAAATTAAATAATTAATAATTGTATTAATTTAGTTTAATAATTAAAACATTACTGTTATCAATGAGTGATCAACATTAGTTCTATTATAATTAGGATGATAATTCTGATGATTTATTGTTATCATAATTTTCTCATGAATCCTAATTTAAAAGCTAAGAATCCTTATAATAAAAAACAAAAAGATAAATTTAATAAGCATAGTAAGCATAATAAAATCAAATGATTCAAGATCAAAATTCCAATACATATATAATTCAAAATTAACACTACTCATAATCATAAAATCAATAAGAATCTAAGGAAATTCAACTTTTATAATTGATTTCTCATTTAAGGTAGCTCTTATAACAATAGCAATAGGATTTTTATGAAAAAGAACTATGCCTTCAATAAAAATTGTTAACTTTTTAATAATAATATGACAGTATGATTTCATTGATGAAAACTAAATATCAAATCATCATAGAAGATCTATAATAAAAAATATCTATGTAACAAATAGAAAATGCAAATATTAAATAATAATTATATTAACAATAAGAGTAATAATAGAAATAAATAATACAAATGAAAAATTAATTAAATGAAACTGAAAGAAATAAAGATGAAAATTGCTTATTTACATAAAAATAAACTAATTAAAACTACTAAAAATTTAATGATTTGAATTATTCATAACATGATTAAGATAAATTACTTCTAAAATATAAATAAGAAATAGATAGAGTGAAATAGTAGACTTTAGAATTTGATAGAAAATTTGAGAATGAAAAATAATTTATAAAATAAGAAATCAGTGTATTAAGAAATTAAAAACTAATTTTCTAAACTTTAAATTCAAATAGATAAGTAACTAATTCAAGTACAGATAAAAATTATACTCAAATAATGAATTCTGATAACAAAACTAATAATTCCAAAAGAAATAGTTAATCTAGAGCTTATAGTCATATTTCTAGAAAGTCTTTAAATTTTTGAATACTTACTATGTAAATTTATATTATAAAAATTAATATTTACTTTAATAATAATGGATTAAGGAGTTAGTCATGGATTTTCATTAAGAAAGATTTGTAAATAGAGATTAAAAGGAGTATTTGTATCTTTGATTTAAACAAACCCAAATGTTTAGAATTATTTTTTGATTGTTGACTAAAAGACTGTAAAAGTTGTTTCTGCATACATGAAATTAGCAGAGTATTTTATACTTTGAATGTTTAGATTAATGGAATTAGGAGTAAGTGCTGTTGAAAAATTGGAGTTGGGTAGAAAACCTTTTCCAAAATTACATGCAATTTATTTTATTTCCCCAACATAAGAGTCAATTCAAAGAGTATTGGATGATTTTAAAGATAAAAAAAATCCTTAATATGGTGTTGTTCATTTATTTTTATCAAATGAAATAGATTAAGGATTAATGCAAAAAATTGCTTAATGTATGGAATACATATATAATTTTATTAGGTAATTAATTAATAACTAAAATTGCCTCTTTCAAAATAGTAAATTTAGATTTTGCTTGTACTTCAGATTAAGTATTCACTATAGAAACACCATAAATATTGACTTAAGCCTTTACTTAATAAAGTAATTTCATTTTATAAAAACATATTAGATGTGTAATATTTATTGAAAGAAGTATCATATAAATTGGCTACATTATTAATATCCTTTAATAAATTTTATTCTTTTGAATTTTTATTTAATCAAGCAGACAATAAATTATCTGAATAAGTAGCAAAATTAACAGCTACAAGATTACAAGAATTATTAGCTTCTTTTGTTAAGTAAAAAAATGATTAGTATGATAATATTGAAAAAGAAGCTGGAAAAATTACTGTTATGATAATTGATAGATCATATGATGTAGCTACTCCATTATTACATGATTTTTATTATTAATCTATGATTTATGATTTATTAGATATAACAAATGATATATATGAAAGTGAAATTGATGCAGGTGGTAAATAAATTAAATAAAAAGTAATATTTAATGAAAATGATGATTTATTTAATAGATATAAGTAAATAAAATTTTTATATATTAAAGATATAGACATATTATACAAGTATTAGAAGGTATACCTGCTGAATTTAGAGAATTTGTTAATAACAATACAACTGCTAAAGTACATTAAGGATAAATGAATAATTTAGATTTGAATTAGATGTCTGAAATAGTTAAGACATTACCTTAATATAATGAATTGTTAGGCAAATATACCTTACACATGGTATATATATATAAAAATTGAATTAAGAAATTAATAGAAAAGAGTTGGTCAATATTTGAAAATAAGGGTCTTAAAGAAATAGGTGAGATTGAATAATGTTTAATTACTGGTATTGATGGAGCTGGTAAAAGTATTTCAACCACTAAGATTTAAAGTGCTGTTGCCACTAAATTAATGAGTGAAACATTGGATGACTATGATAAATTAAGATTAATATTATTAAGTAAATATAAATCATATATTTGTAGCATTTATAGGTTTAGAAATGTCAGAAAAAGATAGAAAGATATTAACTGATAAAATTAAAGCTGAACATTAATAAGCAATCTTAAATCTAATATATTTAGGTGTCAATCCTTCAAAAGGAAGTCAAAAAAAAGTATATTTTATATTATTAATCTTTAGTCTAAATCTTCTAATAGAATTAATGATGATTTAAAAAAATAAGCTAAACATAAATTGGCCAGTGCTTGTACTGAATTATCTAGAAATACTCCTTTAATTGAAACATTAGTAGAAAGTTATATTGAATCTAATTACAAAAAACCTTAAAAATTTGATTCCTTTATAATAAATGAAGATGGTGTTGGAAGCAAAGGTGGAGGTAAATCTATTAGAAAAGGAGGATAATTAGCCAAAATGATATAAAATGATAATAGTGATGAAACTATTAATTATACTTAAAAATTGGTAAATTTATGTTATATTAAATAGATTATATTCGTTATTGGTGGTATTAGTTATTCAGAAATAAGAAGTCTGTTAAGTAATCAAAAAATTGTTAGTTCATAAATTACTGTAAAATAATTCATATTTATCAAAGTTGGTTGGCTCTACTAATATAGTGAAACCAAAAGACTTTTGTTAAGGATTATTAGATATGAAGACTATTTGAATAATATATTTATAAAATATATATATATATATGCATATTTATCTTACTCATTTGTAAATTGGGGATCCTCTTGGTTTAACTTGCTAAAATATAAATTAAAAATAATTAATACATTGTTATTTGGACTTTAATCTTTATCCTTTTCAAAGCAATCATGAGCCCATTTAGAATGATATTAATAATTTCTTTAATCTTATATTATTAATTTATAATAAATACTTCTTTCATCTCCTTTTTGATCTCTATCTCTATTATTTCTATCTCTATCATTAAATCTATTTCTATATTTATCTCTATTGAAACTATTGTTCCTATCATTTCTGTCACTTTTTTCATTTCTATTATCATTTCTATCATTTTTATCATTTCTCTCATTTTTTTCATTCCTATCATTTCTATCATTCCTATCATTTCTCTAACTTCTATCATAATCACGTCTATCTCTTTTATCAAATCTTCTATATGAAGAATTATTATTAAATCTTCGATAGTTTCCTTAATTATAGTTTTTTCTTTCCACCTTATTAAATCTAAGAACTAATAATCATACTTATTAATCATCCACTTTTTTTTCTAAATTAACATTCACATCATTTGTTGTTTATCCTTATTCTTAAGGTTTATTTATTTGAGGTGGTTTATTTTTTCTCCTAATTGTTTAATCAATTCTAATATTAATAATAGATTTTATTAATACTTTTTCAAATAAGAATTAGCTTAACTAAAATCTTCATTCTTCCAACCACTTATTTAAATCAAGAATAAACTTACAAAAGGTAACTATTCATATGACCCCTTCCTTTTTTTATAATGTTTGGATCATCCTTTGGTTTTGATTTTGAATGAGACTTTGATTTTGACTTAGATCTAGATCTTGATCTTTAAGTTCTAAACTATCAAAATTATATACAACTTTTATGATGCCACAATATCTAAATTCACAAAGTTTGAATTACTTTATGAAATCTTTTCTTTCTTATCTTTCTTCTCCTTTTTCTATTTCTTCTTCTTGTCTCCTAGTACAATTTAACTAATAAATGTACTTCTAGAGCTACTTGATGAACTTGAATTCTTTCTATGATCTCTTTTGGCTTTTTTCCTAAAGCATTTAAGATGAATTTTACTTGGAGGATCTATCTGATGAACTTGAGTCGGACCTTGTATTGGTACATATACACAATATACCTTTTCATTATTTAAGCAATTAAAAAATGAATAAAATATTAATTTATTAATCACAGGATATCTTTAAAGAGTAATTCAAAATATCAATTAAAAAAAAAAGAGATGGTTAATGATTGAATTCTTATCTTTAAATAAACAATTTATAAATGCTTAACTAATAATGAAACTATTAAATAGTGTTCAAAATTAGCAGCATTTTTTAATTTGATAAATTAAATTTAATAATTCAGATATAATTAAATGTCATAAACAAAAATTGTCTTAGTAAGTGAAACAAACAATATTTATAAATGGCTAGTCTTAGCTAGCTTCTCATTAAACTCGTAAACATTATTTTTAATATTAGAATATCAAATATCTTTATCTACAGTGCATTGACACCAATTTGGTCATCTGTTGCCATCTATTATAATGTAACAGATTATGATTTAAATTGGTTTCCAAATATGTACTACATATCATTATTTACAACTACTTTTGGTTTCAATCCATTAATTTTAAAATACTTTGGTCAATCATAAATTTTTAGTTGTATTTTAACAACAGCAGGCTTATGGATATTATTAATTTCAGGAAACAATTTTACAATGGGATTATTAAGTTTTGCTATATTAGGATTAGGAGAATCTCTATATTATTAAGTTCCATTACGTAAAAATGAATTAAAATAATTTTAGATTTATCAAAAATATGGTTTCCTCATGAAGAACGCGCTCTTTCTACATTTATAGGATAATATTCAAGTAATGTTGGTATTTTGTTAGGATACATAATTTCATTTTATTATTTTTATGATGTGGTATTATTATTATTAAAATAATTTAAGGTAGATGAAAATGAATTTCAAACTAAATATTAAAATATAATATTCACAACTGCAATTTTTGCTTCTTTAGTTTTAGTTTGCAATCTAATAACTCTTAAAAAACCTATTAATTAGAAAGACTCTATTTAAATAAGAGATCCTCTTTGGGTATCAATTAAAAAGATTTGTACTGCTGAAGAAGCTGTATTCGATCTCCTTTCTTTTTCTGTTTGTAAATTTATAAAATATAAATTAGTTATTGGAGTTGGTTGGAGTTATTCTGCACTTTTTAATATCTAGTAATATAACATAGGATAAACACCAATAGAACTATTTGAAACAAATATATGTTATTAAGTAGGTGGAATTTTAATTGCATTATTTTATACTTTGAAGTTACATTCCTAATCATAACATGGTCTATAATAAAGTTATGATTTATACATGAAATATATAGTTTCAATAGGATTTTGGTCACTTGCAATAGAGATTCTTATATTTGATTAAGTTCCTTTATGGATTTTATAGATTCTGAATTTTTTAATAGGTTGTGGATTTGGTGGATATTATTCAATCTTACTTGAATCACTTTAGGAAAAACATTTCCCTGCCTAAGAATTAGCAATAGGAAGTGTTCTTAGTGGAGTAGCATGTGTAAGCCTTATTAATATAAAAAGATTGCTTCTGTTTTAGTTATAATGATCTTTGGATTACCAGAATTTTAGAAATATGGATTTTAAATCTCATGTTACTTATTAATAATGCCATTTTGCTTTATTCTTGTATTTTATAAAACATCGTTCAAAAGATTTGAATAAGAAGCTTGAACATTTTCTTTCTTAAAAATGACAAAATTATATAGTCTATATATATATGTATTAATAACTTAAATAAATACAATATAATATAAAATATATATATTTTTCTTAATTAATCCAAAAATACATCTTTATTTATTATTATAAATATTTGAGTTATTTGATCTCTCAATATATATTTATTTAAAAAAAATGAATTGATATTTATATCTGATCTAATTATAGAATCTATTTTAAAAATGATGATTTAAGATTTTATTTCTTTTGTATATGTATTTTAGACTTAAATATCTGATTCATTTGTACTTGCCCTTTTTTACCTAATTTAAAGAAATTAATTTTAGAAATCATTTAATTTATAGTTTATAATGAAAGAGGATCGTAAAATACAATAAAACAATGAAGGTTTTTATTAATGGATTGTTCTTACAAGTTTTTGCTTAAATTCGTATTTAAGAATTCATATTTTAGAATGTCAAATATATTTATGTTTACAGGATTATCACCAATTTGGTCTTAAGTGGCCATATATTATGGCACTAATGACTATGACTTAAATTGGTTTCCAAATATGTATTACATTACAATAATGTCTTTTTCCTTTCTTTTCAATCCTATAATAATTAAATTTTTTGGAATCTCATAATTACTAAGCTGTTGTTTAACTTCAATGGGATTATGGCTTTTATTATATGTGAAATAAAATTATTAAATGGGACTTATAAGTTTCGGATTGATTGGATTAGGGGAAAGCTTGTATTATTAAGTTCCATTACGTAAAATATTAAATTAAGATAGATTTATCAAAACTTTGGTTTGCTCATGATCAAAGAATACTGTCAACATTTATTGCATAATATTCAAATAATGTAGGAATGTTGATAGGATATACAATTTCATCGTCATATTTTTATGAGATTGTATTTATTTTATATAAATAAGGTTGATGAAAATGAATTTAATGTACGATTTGAAAATTTGATATTTCTTAATGCAATATTTGCAACAATAGCTTTAGTCTTAAATCTTTCAACTTTAAAAACTCCATCTTTACGTCATGATATAATTGAAATAAGACTCACAACTTGGGAATCCTTATAAAAAATTGTTATGGCAGAAGAATCAGCATTTGATTTTTTATCTATTGCTTCATGTAAAAATCTTAATATACTTAGTTATAGGATTAAGTTGGTGTTATACTATGTTATTAGGAACTCAACAATATTATTTGGGTTAAACCTTTCTATAAGTGACTTAAACTAGTATATATTTCTAAGTCGGTTAAATAGTGGCTGGTATTTATTGTACTTGGAAATTATAAAAGTAATCAAAAGCTGGAATTTAATAAGATTACGATATTTATATAAAAACTATGATTAGTTTAGGATTTTGGTTACTTGTTTTCGAAATTATATTATTAGAAGATATACCTTTTATTATATTAGTGTTTATTAATTTTTTTATTGGTGCAGGTTTAGGTGGATTATATTCAGTCTTATTGGAAGCCTTAATGGAAAAACACTTTCCAGTATAAGAGTTGGCAATAGGATCTGTTCTAGCAGCAGTAGCTTGTGTAATAAATATTTATTATATAGGCTGTTTCTATAACAATAACTATGACTTTAGTAATTCCTAAATTTCTTGAGTATGGATTTTAAATTTCATGTTATCTAATGATTATTCCTTTTTGTTACATTGCTGTCTTCTATAAAACTCAATTTAAACGATTTGAGGCTGAAGCTTGATTTAATAATTTCGTACTTATAACTAAAAGTAAAAAATGAAAATATATTCTCATTGAATTCTTAAATTATTGATTATTAATTATTATAATTTAATCTAATAATAAATTAAAGATAAATTATCTTGTACTTAATAATTTACTTAATTACTTATTTAATTTAAAAATAGTATATATATACATAATCATGCCTCAAATTCAAATCGTTTATATTTAGTTTTATAGAAAACTAAAATATAGCAAAATGATGGGATCATAAAAAAACAAGAGATATAAAATCCATAAGTTAGAAACTGTGGTATTATTGATATCATACCTATGGAAAATGACAATGCCTAAATATTAATGATATTTTTACACAAGCCACTACAACTAATAAAGTTGAAATGGCTAATTCTTATGCTGGATAATGCTTTTCCATTAATGATTCTAATAAAATTGAGTATATTCCTCCAAGACCAGCTCCAATAAAAAAATTCATTAATATAACTAATTGAAAAGGTAAAAATTCAAAAGTTAAATTCTCTGCCATCAAAAAAAAAAATCCTAAACTAATGGTAAATTTAATAAATGTATCATAAGTTTATTATAATCCTTTTTGTGATTAAGAGTTCAATTTATAAGAACATATTAGAGCAGCTATTAATTATCCAATAGAAAAAGTAACATTTGTTAAACAAATCTCTTCAGGAGTATACTACATATAATATTATTATGTTCCAAATAATAAAATATAACACCAACTTATACCAATAACTAAACATATTATTAAATAAAATACAAGTTGATACAGAAGCAACATCTAAAAATGTTTCCCATTGAGAACAAATCTTTTTTAATGATACCCATATAGAATCTCTTATTTAAATCTTATCTAAAGAATTATATGGGGATTTAAGTGATATAAAACTAATAATAATAGTAGAAGTAGCTAAAATTGCATTAATAAAAATAAGATTTTCAAATCTTATATTAAATTCAATTTCATCATACTAATTTTAAAAAATATTTACTTACAATTTCAAAGAAATAATAAAAGGAAACTAAGTATCCTATTAAACATCCTACATTATTTGCATATTAGGCTACAAATGTAGTAAATATACGTTCATCTGCATTAAACCATATTTTTGATAAATCTAATTTTGATTAAATTTTGATACATAAAGGGGTTTAACAATAAAGAGCTTCTCCAATTCCTAAAAATGCAAATCCTAGCATTCCTAATTAAAAATCTCTTTTAACTGATACTAAAATCCATAATCCAATTGATGAACATATACAACTTAAAATTTATGATAGACCATAATTATAAATTATAATTGCATTGAAAGGAAAGCAAAATAAAATTGGACCAAAATAATACCAACCTACTATCCAATTTAAATCGTAATCATTTGTATTATAATAAATGGCCACTTAATACCAGATAGGAGAAACAATAGTTGATAACATTATATTGGAAATTCTAATTAGAATAAAATAAATACGAGTTTAGACACATACTCCCAAGAACTAGTAATTTAAACAATTTTGTATCCCATCCCCCTCTATCTTGCTTTTCAATTTACTGAATTTTTCTCATAATAAAGAAAAGTATAGATGTGATGCTTTGATTTGAATAAATAAATATTTTAGAATTGATGATATTAATTGATTTAATCTAAAACTAAATATTCTATAAAGATCATAATTTAGTAAGGTCTATATCACATTCAATTGGAACATGATCACTTCCTTCAATTGTAGTGATGATATCTGTATGTATAACTGAACCAATAGCTTCTTGATTAACAACAAAATAATCTATCCTCCATCCCTTATTTGTCTCCCTATTAATTATATGATAAATTTCTCACCTTGAATTAAATCGTGGACTAAAATAACTATATTTTATCTCTTTTGGATACAAATGTCTAAATGTATCAATCCATCCTTTGGATAGAAACTTTGAAAATGAATCCCTTTCTTCTTAGGTAAACCTTATATAATATTTAATTTAATTACCCTGCACTTCTTTTATTTCCATCAGGATTGGCTAAATCTATTTCTGTATGAGATACATTTAGATCACCACATATAATTGTATTCTTTTTCTATTTTAATTAATCAAGATAATTTTAAAAGTCAACATCCCATTCTTATGTTCTATAATTTAATCTATCTAATTTATCCCCAGAATTAGGAACATAACATGCTACTAAATTAAACTTCTCAAATTCTGCTGTAATAATTCTTCCTTCTTAATCATGTTTATGAATTCCCATATCAAATTTTATTGATATTGGTTTCACTCTATATTTATTTCATTTAATTAAATACTTAGATAAAATAGCAACACCACTATATCCTGCCTTGATTTTACAAAAATTTAAATAAGCAAAATAATCTTTAGGTAATTTAGTAATTAAATTTTCTTTATCAAATGCTTCCTAAGCTACCTTTAATTCATTTAAACATATGATATCAAACTAATTTTTCAAATTTCAGCATACTTTCTTATCATTTAAATATGTAACTGCACTTTCTTTTTTAGATGATGCTCTAAGTCCATTAATGTTCCAACTTGAAATTTTCAATTTATCTTATTAAAATATTCCATCTCCTAAATCTAGCTTTTTTTATGATAAATCAACTATTTATCCTTTCTTATCTACTAATTTAAGAGTTTATTATTTCAAGATTTTTGGATTACTTTTTTTTTCATTTTTAACTTTTGATCCTTCTTTTTGATTTTAGCTTTTACTTTTATTCTCTTTCTATACATTTTCATTTGAATTAGAATCCAAAGCTTTAGAATTTATAAATACAAATATACTTATTTTTGGAGGCATTTTACTTATTTTAAATAAATGAGTGTGTTTAATTAGATTTCTAGCTATTTGTAACATTGAATATTTATCTCTTAATTTAATTACTTAAAGTCTTATTCAATTTTTATAAATGGAATATATAATTAAAGATTTAATCATTTTTTTATTGTTTCTATTTTACTATTATATTTTAGAATATTTTTAATAAGAGATAAATCAATAATAATAGTTTTAATATGAGAACTCATTTAACTTATTATAAATAAGTCATTCTTTAAGTAGCACGACTTGCTTCGAGTTCAGCTTATGCAAAACATAATTATTCTTAACATTTATGATATTTCTCATTTAAATCTTAGAAATTTCTTCTCCAATCTATGTTTTCATTATGATATGAATCTTATAATTCTTAATTCTTTATCATAATGATTCTATTTAATCTTTCTATTTCTTTGTAAGATTAATCTAAACCTTATTTTTAATTTCGATTTTCCTCATTTAATTATCTATTAAATTAATTAATCTATTATAATTCATTATAAACATTTTCAACTTATTTACTTTATTATTATAATGAATTATCTTTGTCTCTAAAAATTAATATAATTATACTCTAAAATTTATGTAAGAACATTAATTTAGCTCACTAATTAATCAAAATTTTTTTCTTATTCTCTAAATTTATTATTAGAACCTATATTATCTCTTTATGTTTATTAAGTCATCTATAATTATTCTTATAAATAATATATGGTTTTTTATTTAGTTATTAATTCATTTCTTAAATCTTCAACTAATTTCTAAATTGCAATCAATTCTTAAGCTAATTATTTTTAATCATTCTATCTTAAAATTCCCTATTCATTATCATTTTATTTATTTAATTATAAATTATGAATTCTTTCAAATTCCATACTAATTGATACAATTTTATCATTTGATTCTTTTAAAAGATTTTAATATTGAATACTATTTTCTCTAAATTTAATTTCAAGTTCTTATATTCTCAATTTATAATCTTCATTTTATTACCTTAAAATGTTGATATCATTTGTAAATAGTTATTCATTTTGTACTATTAATTAATTTATTAAGTTTACCTCTTTAATTGATTTCGCATTACAACTACATTTCTAATTAAGAAGATCTTTATCTTTCTTATTAAATTTCAAAACGCAAATATTAAACTTCTGCTTTTTCTTAACAAGGTTGAAGAACTTGATTTTCTAATTAATCAGTTTTAAAAGTAAGATTTGGTGAGAATGGTCTAATTTAACTATTGAGTGCAGGTGTGTTACCTTTTCTCATTGATCTACTCATTTTTAACAGTTAAATATAAATTAATATTAAATAATGTATATAAGTTTCAATATTAGGAGATGCAAGAATTTATTCAATTTATTAATTTAAGATTGCTATTGATATTAATTATATTGATTTAAACAAATTAGATTGGTTTACAAATCGAAAAAATCTAAATTGATTATAAGTAAATAATTTAAAAAAAAAATAATATTAAAAAAATGAGTAATGGATCTGTGAAAGACATTTTGAAAGATAAAAAGAAAGTTAGATTTGTTGCTGAGAGTGCTTTTAAATAAGTTGATAAAGATGGTAAAATTATAAGAATTTATATTTAATAGGTAGTGGCTATCTTGAAAGACCAGAACTAGAAGAAGTGATGAATAATGTAGCAGCAGATTTAGGAGTTGAAGTAAATATAATAACTATTAAATTTATAGCCACCTACAAGTGAGGAAATTGATGAAGTATTAAAAGAATTAGATGAGAATGGAGATGGAAAATTGTCTATTGATGAATTTTAAGTTTTAATTGAATAGGTTCTAGAGATGATGGCAAAAGTAGAAGGTTGAATTAAATTAAGATGCACATTTCTTATTATTTTTAATATTCACTTTTTGTTTCTCAAACAATCCAATTAATTAGATAGGGAATTTATTATAAGTATTCACATATATATATATATATATTATAATATTTTTTATTAAAAATTTAAGAATAATTTCTAAACCTTAATTAGATTGCATTAAATTTTATTTCTATATGATATTATCATTATTTGGTGTATAAATGTAAATCTTTAAAGAAGGATTTTGATAAAATAATTAACCAATTTCAACAATGTCCTTCTATCCTGGCTATCCATATGCAGCACCCCTTACAACCTCAGTTGCAGCTCCATTGACATATGCTCCTTAAGTATCATATGCTCCACCAGTGTCATATGCTCCTTAATTGTCTTATGCTGCACCAGTTTAATATGCCAGACCTGTCACATAATCTGTTGTTTAACCAGTTGTAACACAACCTGTTGCTGTTCAACCAGTTTTACAATAATCTGTGATTGCATAACCAGTTGTTGCTTAACCTGTCTAACCAACAATCAAAGGAGAATCAAGAGTTGAATACAGAGAATACTAAAGACAAGTTGTTGAAATGGAAACTGAGACTGTTTAAGTTTAAGTGCCTAAAACAAAATATGTCACAGATTACTATCCTGTTGAATATTAAACCGAATATATCCCCAGAACAGTTTATGAATAATAAACTGAATATGTCCCAGTAACTAAAACAGTCCCAAGAGTTGAATATGAGGCTGTCGAAAGAGAAGTTTAAAGAGTATATAATTTGTATATTTTTATAGGCTTAATAAGTCGTTGTACAACAACCAGTAGTATAATAAGTTGTTCAATAACCAGTTGTTTAATAGGTTGTACCTTAACAAGTTGTTCAATCTTATGTTTAATAACCTGTTGTCTAACAACCATTGTCATATTCATTGGTAAGACCAGCACCTACTTACACTGCACCAGTGGCTTATTCAAGTGTAGCTCCAGTTGCTGCTTATCCAGGTTATTATGGAGGATATAGACCTTTCTGAGGTTATTTTAGTATCAACATATAATATAATATAAAAATTGTATTTTATAACGACATACTTGAAACATCAAACATCCTTAGTGTTTAATTAAAAAAAATACATTATAAAAAGCAGAAAACTTATCATGAAATCAATAGAATATCACTTAATTTAATTTTATCATTGGTCGAATTCTAATGATTAATTTATATGTTTTCAGACATGGTTAGTCCATTTATTAATGTCTGAGAGTTATTTCAGGTCTTCACGAATTTGGTTTAAGTGCACTAGGCAAATATTAGACATACAATCTCGCATCTAGAACTGATGTTGATTTTGAGATTGCATATATATCAGATACAAAGAGAACGATTGAAACATTTGAAATGTTAAAATTAGCAGGAAAGATGCCATCAGAAGAAAATTGTATCTTCACTCCTTTAATAAGAGAAAAATGTTAAGGTGATTTTATTATGCAAGAATTCAAGGCATTTCCTGTAAATATTATTGAAAAATATAGGATGATCCAAATAAAAGAAATTTTACACCTAAAAATGGAGAGAGTTGGGAAGATGTATAAGTTAGAGTATCAAAGACTTTTGATTTTCTTGTTAGACGATATTTATATTTATAAAAAGAGGCAAAATAAGATGATGATGAACTTGTCAAAGCATTGTTTTAATAATCAGAACATATTGAAAGCAAAAAGAATAATATCATTTTAGTCACTCATTATGGATTCATCAAAGAAATTGTATAATATCTTAAAAAGGCTGACTAATTATAACTAGAATAGCCATATTTTGCATAAAATGCTACTCTTTTCACTTTATAATTATTTCTAAAAGAAAATGAAAGTTGGTAAGCCAAAATTATCAGTCTCAATAGCTACACTAGATAATACAGACCATTTATGGATTGATTGTAAATAATGTTCCATAATCATATATATATTATTATGCAGTGAAATTTTTAAATTATCATACAATTTTACCCATCAATTCAGCTTTATTTGCCTATTCTCTTAATCTATCTAATTCTCTTTAATCTTCTCTTTTTTATTACATTCTAAAATCAACTTCTCTTAATTTATCTCTAATTTATTCTCTTCTAAATTCTTCAAATTATCTTTAATGTTTAATAGCATCTTATTAATCAAGTCTTTTCTTTAATTTTTCATAAGCCTATTATTGATATAAAATTTCTTGTTCTTTCTTCACTCTTTATATCTATGAAATATAGATGCTATTACTTTTTCATCTTAATCCTATAATTTTATAAGATATTATTATCTTTTCTCTTCCAATTATTACATATTCATTCTCCTTACTTTCTCTCTATGTTTTGCTCTTCTTTCTGCTTATTATTTTACAAATTCATCCTTTGCTCCTGATTCACTTCTTTATTATAATCTATATTATATTTCTTATTCTCTTTCAGCATATTATCTTTTAAATTCTTCATGTATCTATTCTTTCATTCTAGCAGTATTTTTAATCTTTTCATTTTTCATTTTATTCTTCTCCTCTATAGACAATTATCTTTAACGTTATTATTCTTAAAATTTATGTTGTTATTCTACAATTCTTTCTTCTTTCTTAAAATAATCTTCTCTTAATTTCTTTTAAAATTCTATTTAACTTCTTTAAGCTTCTCTTTATCTAATTTTAGCAGACTATGCCCTTTTTTAAGCACTTATTCTTTTTTATTCTTATTGTTGTTAAAAGAATTCTTATCTTCTAAGTTCTTATTCTTCTTCTTCTTATTTCCTTTATTAATACTCTAATTCAGCTTATTTCTCTTTCATTTTTCTATCTCTCTCTAATCTTTATTTTAATTCCTTTTATTATTGTTCTCTATTAATTGCTTCTGCTTATCTTTATTATTCTTCAATTTATTATTATTAAAGTCTTTATTATTCTTTTTGAAAATATTCTTATTATAATTACCGATTTTTCTTTTAATCTTCTAGTTCTTTCAATCTTTTTTATCTAGCTATATTTTCTTATTTTGCTGAAAATTCTTATTGTCTTTATTCTTGTTTTTTCTTTCTTTATTCTTCAAATTATTACATCTTTTCCTATTATTATTAATTTTATTATTCACGCATTAACATTAACTCTTATAAATGTCTTTATCTCATCATTTCCATATATTTTCTTTTCTATACTTAATCCATAAATTTCGATGCATTTGAACTACTAAGAGGTCTATCTCCTTTCAATTAAGTGATATTTGATTCAATTTTTTTTCTTTTTTCTTTTTCAATCAAAGCTTCTCTATCCTTTATTAACATATAAACTTTTTATTATCTTCTATATTCATAATGTTTATAGAAATCATCCAAGTTCTGATCCTGTAATGATTTTTCTTATTTTAACATTAGTCCTAATTTCTCTTTATTTATAAAAAGCAACTCTTCTTAAGCCATTCCTCTTTATTTTAAAACCATAATTGAACGAGGACTGTTAATTCTACATCTTTAATCAGCTGGATTGAAATTGATTAAAGAAATCATTTATATTAATAAAAATTATAAATGGATTCTATATATTAAAATCATTATTGTTTGAATTCAAACTCCCATTTCTTTAATTATTATTTATCTTACTAAGGAATCTCTGCAAATTTGGCACTATTAGTAGATTCCACTAAAGAAACATCATTAATAGAAATTCTAGACAAAATACTCATAGTTTCATCAGGTAAAGGTTATTATTATTAGAAATGTAATGTTTAACTTCTATTATGGATTTTAAAATTATCCTTTTTGCCACTATTACTTATACTAATAGTTTTATTGTGAGATACATTTAATTATTATTATTTTGATCCTAATGGTTACTATTATTATTCTAATGAAACATAACTTAATTAAGCCAATTCTTTTATGAAAGAATCATCTATATTAAATTGTCCATTTAATTTTTAAAGTTATTATTTAATCCAAATTATACTTCTCCCACTTTATTGAGGTATTCTAACAATTTCTGGATTAAGTAAATCAGAACCATTATTGAGTGATTAAAAAAAGTGATTCAATATAGAAATTAATGTACTTAGTGTATCTTGGAAAGAACATACTTCATCAATTAAACCTTTTCTTGTAGAAACCCATGTGTCAAAACCATTTGATTATGAAATTTAAGTCTTTAATGGCATTGTATCATATCTATTGGCATAATTGATTCTATCTTTGCTTCTTAACTATATTATATATTATGATAAATAACCTAATCTTTCATTTTCAAGAATTCTAATTCTTTTTTTTTGAATTCACTTTACATTACTTACACTTTGTTTTGTATTTTAATAACTTTTTAATTCAATTCTTCCTTTCTATTAAATTAATTGATACCTTTTCTTAGATAAGTTTATCATTTGCCAATTTATTCTATTTATTCAATAAAATAATTTGATTTTCAAGTTATCCTATTTGTTTTATTCTATAAAAAAATATATTAAATAGAGTTCTACTTTAATTCTATTTCTTCTTATAATCTTTTAGCCTTAATCTTTAAAGATTCATTGTCACTTCTGATTTTGAAAAATTCATCTTCATGATTGTTAATATTTTTCATGGTGGCTGATTTAAATATAAATACTGCATGTATTATTTCATAAACTTTTGATAAATATAAGGGTATGTTATAATTATCTTCTGGAAAAACAGGCATTTCTATTATAAGATTTATTAGAAAAAGTACATTGTTAATTTAAAATTCCATTAAATTATTAAAGCATTTACATCCATTCTAAAGTATTAATTGAAAATTTATACTTTTAGTTTCACATACAATACATGATTCTGATATTTTACAATCACATCTATAATCCTCAATTTCATCAACTATTTTTTCAAGGAAGCTTGACATCTATGACTTCTCTTAAAAGATGATCTTAATTAATTAGATTTAAATTGTATACGCTTTGTTGATATGAATTTTAATACATTATATTAATTTATAAATTATAGTATGTTCCTGTAAATTTAAAATTTATTGAGAAAAAAAATAAAATTTTTATATGTTAAAAGCTTTAGGAAGTTTTTATTAACCAAAAAATCAAAAGAATAGTGAAACTGAATCTTAGGATTATTTTTTCCTGAATAAATTCACAAAAAAAATGATGTTAAATAAAACAATGATTGCTAAGAGATATGAAAAAGGCAATTTAGTTAGTTTATTTGATGATTGTGATGGAAATATGTCTCAATATGATGAGGATATATTGAGATAATTAAACATTTACTCATATAGAGATTGCTCAATAATAGAAATGGATATTATATTTGTAAAACATCATCAAGAAATTTTATCATTTTGCAATGTAATAAATATTTATAAAACCTTTAGAAAATAGATTTAATAAGCAATTATCTACAATCAAATTTAAATAAAAATTTACAATCTGAAGGAATTATTTTTTACTCTTATTTGGATCAATTAATGGCTAAATACAAAATATATTTACCAAACAAAAGTTGTTTATCTAACTTGTCAGAAGATGAACTAAATATCTTAATTTTTAATGTTAAATAAATAAATGAAAAAATGGAAGACTCAATTGTGGCATATAGAAATTAATTACTTTCTGCTCTTGATTTAGACTAATATTCAATATCAATGTATTTTCCAAATCATCTACCATTATTTGATTAGTATATAGATGAAAATATTATAATTGAAGTTAATAATAATTTAACATTCGAATGCATAATAGCAAGAAAATGTGAAATTTTTTAAGGAAAAATATACTTTGAGGGTGGATAACATAAGAATATAGAAGATCTATCCTAAAATGATTAAGAAATAGTAAAGAATTAAAATAATTCAATTCTTTAATAGTTAAATTATGAAATTAAGATTTATCGTATTGAAGTTAAAATTAATCCAATGAATTAAAGAAATATTAATAACTTAAAATAAATCCTTGAAGGAGAACTACTTTAAGAATTTTGCAGAACTATTGCTGAATAATAGATGTAAATATAAGAAACATTTTGTTCTATTTAAATTCCTGAAGCTGATCCAAAATAAAAGAATTTCTTATAAGAATAATTACCTGATGTAGAAATATCAGTATTTACAAAATTATTAATATTAAAAGAAGTTATGTATACAATTAGAGAAAACTAAAAACTACTAAAAAATCCTAAATTTAAAGGTAAATTGTCTGTTGTAAAAATGATTAGATTTTGCAATACTTTAGGTATCAGACCTATTTGTATCATGTAATAAAATGATAAAAAATCTATAGATCTCAAAGAAAATAGAGAAAATAATAATAAAATCATACAAAATTTGATATAAGTTTTATTTTTTAAAGATAGTTATGATGATAAAATAAAACCTATAGATTCTTTATGTGGGGAATTTATGATTAATTTATGTAATTTTGAACTTTAAGATTTTCCAGATATTGATAATATTTTGGTTAAATTAGAAAAATTACTTCTTTTAGTCAAATCAATTCATTGTGTACCTTTAGATTGATAAATTTAAATATATATATAAACGAATTTATTATACAATTATCTATTTAATAAATAATCAAACATAAAAATATCAAAAAATATGAATTAACTCCTAAATGATGAATAAAAGCGAAAATGTCCTTATTGTTAATATCAATTTATTGGTTAAAAGATTTTGGAACATGAAAAAGAATGTTAAAACAAATAAAATGGAGAATAATATTCATCAAATGTAAATAAAATTCCTATCTATATAGAGGAATTATGAAAGAAACTAAATGAATATGTAGTAAATACAAAGTCAAAATGATTTTAAATCAAGATAATAAGAATTACTAAAGAAATGCGAACATTGTAATGAGGATTACCCTTCAGAAGTTTATAATTTACACATATAAAATTGTGATGCAAAGGCACTATTTTTAAAATACATAAAAACTGAATGTCCATCTTAACTTATATCATAAAATACATAGAATGATGAAGATGAAGAAAATGATAGATAAAAAATTTAAATTCTAACATAATATTTAGAATTAATGGAAAAAAAAGGAGATATATTAGAAAAAGGGGAAGAATTAGTCAAAATATCAAATTTTTCAATTGAACCTTTCACACGAACTTTTAAAAGTAAGATGTGTAGATCATGCAACTAAAATTTTGTATTAGATGAAGAAATATTAATTATGAAATGTTGTTCTTAAATTTATCATAATATTTGTTTTGCTGAATTAATCAAAAAAACTATTAATTGTGAATGTGGTAAATAGATAATTATTGATTGATTTATTGCTTTATTTAATTAAAAATTCTACAATAAAAAAAAAAGATAAGAATTAAATTAGTTAAAATATTTGAAGAACCGTATTAATGTTATCATTCTTAATCATCTTCTTCAAATCCCATCTCCTATTAAGTGACATCAGTTTTGCAAATAGGGCATGTACTCTATTCTTTAAACCATTCTGAAATACATTTCTTATGAAATCTATGTATACATGGTAATAGAATTAATTCTTCTCCATCTTCATAATTATTAATACATATTGAACATTATTTATATTCTTATGATAAACCATCATAAGGTACAAATTTTATAATTGCTAAATTTTCTAATTCTTAAGGAGCTTGATGGATATGATTCCTATTATATTGATTAAATTTACATCATAGGTATGAAGAATAATCCTCTTCTAGTTTAATTTGAAAAAAAAGGATTATTTAGAAATTAATCTATTAAAGTTTATAAAGAATTTCTTTAAATTTAATTTCTACCCATATTAAAGATTGGAAATAAATTATTTTATTATTATTATTATTATTATTATTGTTATTATTATGATGCTTAAGTTATTATTCTTTGAGATTAAACTTATCCTGTATTTGAATTTGTCGTAATAATTGTTTTTCTAATTGTTCCATCTGGTAATACTTCAATTTTTGTTCTTGTGACTTAATTATGATTTCTATTTTATGGTTAATTATAATGAATATAATTTTGATTGTTTATTTGTTATTAAATATAATCATCATTATTTTCATAAGGATTATAATGAGTATTCTATTATTCATGAATATTTTCATCTTAATATTCTTATATAGATAATTATTCAATTAATTTTCTAGTATCACATAAAGGATAATGTTCTTCTAAAATTTCTATAGGATATTCTTAATCACAGTATTCACATTTCTTCTATGTTCTTTTTAATAATGATTCATTATATTAATTAATATTCTATTATTGTATCCTTTATACTTATGAAGTATTTTTATATTCTGGATTATCTGATCTTCTTGGATTGTTGTTTATTTAATTTAAATTTGAGTTATTATCCTTTTATGAAGAATAAATATGTGATTCCACAAATTAAACAGGTTATCTTGAGGAACTTTATTATAATCTTGATTATTATTGATGATTATTCTATGATTAAAATTGAGATTGATTTTCGTTTATTCTAGATTGGATTTCAGACTAATAATTAGGATGATTTGATAAATTGCACTCTAATTTATGTGCATACATCTAACATTAATGTATTCTTTTCTTACAATATTTACATTTTACATAATCTTGATTTTGAGATTTCATTCTATTTAAACAATAATTAATTAGTTTGAAATTGTTGTAATTTAGTTTTGGATCTCAAAAATCTTTTCATAATAGAATAAATTAAAAATAGAGTTGATATTATTTGTATGAAATATGTTTTTTGGTTTTAGTTGTTAAAGAGTGTGTTTATTAATAATTTGTAAAAATATAATACAGAATTCATCAATTAAATTAAATTAAGTTAGATGGTTGAAAAATCTACAATGAGATGGTTATGTGCTATTTGTACTTGTTGTTGGTGGTTGAATTATTATGGATTTTTAAATAATTGTGTAAGAGGATGCTAAATTTGTATAGATGGTAAATTTATTTAATATTTATTTCAAGTTTTTGATGCAACAGTTTCAGCTGTTTGGAAGGGTATATTTTGTGTATTTATGTGTTGTTGTTTTGGATTTGAATGTGTAACATGTGTATTATGTATCTATTCTTGTATTGAATTATTTAATGATCCATGTTAAAGATATTAAGCTGAAGATTCATGGATAAATGCTTTTTGGCAATTAGTTTATCTAAAAGATCTAGAAATAGAAGGAACAGTTAGAGAGAAACTTAAAGAGATATTTGCTAAATGATAAAATGAATAATATATATAATGGATTGTATGTTCATTCTTATTTTAAGTTCTTTTTGATTTTTATACTATAGTTTATTTGTTAAAAGATATATATTGAAATTATATATATAAGCAATGCAATAAAGTAAAAGTCTGAATACTAATTATTAACTCATTCTAATTTATATTGTTATTAAAATTATGCTTGCTTCATGGTTATTGGATTACATTTCTCATAATCTGTTGAAAACTTTTTTTTTTCTTCAAAATAATTCAAGCTAAGAGCTGATTCAGTATGAGTAGCCTTGGATTCAAATCTAAAATATAGATAAATTCCAACACAAAGACAAGATATTATCATATTTATAATATGAATAATTAAGTTACTGTATGTTTTAATCAAAACAAATTAATAACATGCTGATCCAGCAGATATTAATATAGGTGATATTCCTAATAATTGAAGAGTAGAATCATTTAAATTTCTATTTATAGTTGGTGGATAAGAACATCTTCTTAATAATGTATATTTGCATGCCCAATAATATAGAAATAATGATAATATCTACATCATCATTCCATATGGGAAAATACATAAATAAAACATACTCATCAAAATACTTTTATAAATAGTTGAATATTTATCTGCTATTCTATAATCTGGTCCTTCAAATAATTCATGTGTTTATTATTAGGTAAGAATAATCTATCTTTTATCTTATTCCTTCAATATTTAATTTTATTTTATTAATTTAATAATATATAATGGATCTAATATTTCTAAGATTGGCAATATTATTAAATTGCCTAAAAATATAAAAAATAGACTGACTGCTAAATTATTCTAATCAAAATCAGTAAATATAAATAATCCAAAAGGTACAAGGGCTGTATTAATAAATTACATTATTGTTTAAGTTACCATAACACTTCTAGTTTCATTTGTATAAGTAGTATGTTTTTCATACTTTGAAGTTATTTTAATGAGCATCTCTAAAATTTAATTAATAATTAAAATTGCTAAAGCACATAAACCTGATAATACATATTTTACATAAAATGTATTACTACTTTATGCTTAATTTTGAGTATATGAAATTCCATATACAATAAAAGCTCCAATTAATACAACAAGAAAGTTTAAACTTAAAGCCAACATTCTTTTGCATCTTTTTTCTGAATGACTTGTATTAAAATTTTACCAAATTATATCTAAAGGTTCAGGTGCTCTTCTAATATAAATTCTTTAACCATTTATAAATTTCCATTGCTATTTATCATTATTTAAATAATATAATAATTTATCACAACATCCAACATAATCCATAATTATTTCATACCAATGATTTTAATTACATATATCTAAAATTTAATCAACTAAACTTTCTTCTTATAATGTTACTAAAACATAATCAGTTCTTTAATATAAATTATTTAGTGTGACTTATTATTCAAAAAGAGAAATCTATTTATCTAAAACTTATATTTCATGCATCAACTAATTTAATATATCATTTTTCTCTCTAACTTCTTATGGACGTGTCATCAAAGCATAAATTTTTTATTATTCTTACAACTTTTCATTCTTTTTCTTCTAATCATTCAAATAATCTTAAATATTTAAAGGACGTATTATCTTTACTATGGATGATGAGTTTACATTAAAGTATTTCATAAAATATTATTCAATCTACTATTTTTCATGAGTATATGGATAATTTCTTAATAATATAGTAAAATCACTTGGTGAACTATTTATAGAAAAATGAAGGTTTCTTTATTAAAACCATTTAATTAAGAATAAACCAGCTGTCACTAGAAATGTTCCAAGAAGTGCTAATACAGCCTAAATTGTTAATTATAATTCTGTTTTATTAACAGTGTATGCTACTCCTATAAAATGATAACATCCTTATTCTTAATTTTCTTCATTATCCATCAAATTAAAATGATATTCCTTGTAACATAAGTCAGAAGTAGTGATAATATTGTATATTCCTACAAGAACGAAGATTAGTAGTAATAGAATTGAATATAATTTTATAGATTGAAAGAATAAAGGGATTCCTTCACCTAAAATAAATCAATTTATAATAAATACCTAAAAATTGTAGTCTTATAATATCTTCACATACTCCTATTGGTATTTTATTTATTGCCATATTACAACATGGACAATATTCTTATTAATTTTGATTCTAATATCCAACTTATTTTGCTTTAGCATGAGCTTAGGCTAATTCTAATATAATTATAGATTGAATAATTACAAAAATCAGGAGGCAAAGCAAAGGGATTGTATTGTTTATTTTAATTCATTAATATAATATATCCCAAATCCACCAATCAAATTAGAGGTTCAATGTTTTTTGTGTGCCAATTTTTGACTTACATTTTTAATATTAAAAATGGCAAGAACTAAATAAACTGCAAGAAAGAGCACTGCTGGTAACAAAAAACCAACTAAACATTTGGCTACTAAAGCAGCCAGAAAAACTGCTCCAGCTGTAGGTGCTGCTGGAGGTTTAAAGAAGCCACACAAATTTAGACCAGGAACTGTTGCTTTAAGAGAAATTCGTAAATATCAAAAATCAACTGAATTATTGATCAGAAAATTGCCATTCCAAAGATTAGTTAGAGAAATTGCTCATGAATTCTAAAAGGAACTCAGATTCTAAAGCTCTGCTGTCTTAGCTCTTTAAGAAGCTGCTGAAGCCTATCTTGTTGGATTATTTGAAGACACAAACTTATGTGCAATTCATGCTAGAAGAGTCACAATTATGTCAAGAGACATTCAATTAGCTAGAAGAATCAGAGGAGAAAGATTCTGATATTTTTTATTCCAGAAAATTATTATATAAGATTTCATAAACCTTTAAATTTAAATTGCTATTATATCGATTTCACTCTCTCGTTTAACATGTTTTCTACTTACTATAAAATCCTTGTTAGTTAACAATTAAAGTAAATTAGAACTATAGTATTTCTAATAATATAGAAAATTATAGTATATTAAAAAAGTACGAAAATTAATATTTTATATATCAATATTAATAGGGTATTAAATTTATAAGTAATATCTCAAAAAAAAAAAAATATGTATTTTGAATGTCCTTGCTCCTTTAGAAAGGAATTAGAATAGGAGAGTTAAATAATTGAACACATTGATATATGTTAAGAATTTAACATTGATAGTCCACTTTGCAATATGTACAAAAGAGCAAATGTTGAAGAAATATCAATAGAATAATTAGTAACTTTCTTATGTGATCTAAAATTACAAGTAGAGAGAATTGAGAATGTTTTAAAAATAAGTAGAATAATATAATAATTAAATAGGAGGCTTTAGAAAAAAAATAATGCCAATTATTTCAGACCTAAATTTTGATCATTGTTCTAAATCCACATCCAGTTCAAAAATAAAAAAAAATAATGTTGGAATTTAATAAAATAATATTGTAGTCAGAATCCTTTAAAAAACCAATTCTAGTGAATAATAATCATTTAAAATTAATTAGGAGAGTCTAAATTAAGATAATTAATTAAATCTAACTTCCTCTCTTTCAACTCATCAATATTTTGAAGATGAAAAATCTAGTAATCTTATAATTCATTAAACAAAAGAGATAATTTAAGACTAATTAATAATTAATTGTAAATAATAATAAGATGAAAAAATTGCATGTGAAGCTTGTAGAAAAACATTTTATTTTAATCAAGATTTTGAAAAGTTATGGTTCTTAGAAAATTGTGGACATGTAATGTGTAAATTATGTATTCATCGATTGGCATTAGAAAAATATGTTGAAAATGATGGTAGAATTATGTGTTAGGAAATTGGTTGTATAGCTTGGATTAAAGAATTTGAATTAAAATAAATACTAGGAATTGATAAATTTAATGATTTAGATTAAAAATTAGCATTTAAAAATTAAGATATTATTGAATGCATTAAATGTAAATCTCAATTCTTTTTTGAAAAAGGCAATCCCAAAGAAATAGTAAAAGATTAATAAGGTAAGAATATCAATCATGAAGCATAGATTAATTATGCTAATAATAGATTTATTTGTAAATAATGTAAAACAGAATAATGTAGAGAATGTAAAGCAGTTCCTTTTCATATTGGAATGACTTGTTAAGAGTATAAGATTAATTCATAAGCAAATAAATGTATTCTTTGTAATTTTCCATGTGAAGGAAAAGTATGTAATTAAGATGATTGTCAAAAAAGATTTTAAAGATTATGTTAAAATAAATTAGATTGTGGTCATAGTTGTAATGGAGTAAAAGGAGAAGAATGTTTATGTTTAATTTGTTCAAACTAAGAACCAGATGATTATTGTAATATGTGTTTTATTGAACCCTTAAAGAGTGCTCCATGTATTAAAACAGAATGTGGTCATATATTTCATGAAGAATGCATTTTTAAGAAATTAGATTCAAAATGGAATGGATATAGGATTATATTTAATTATTGTNGAACACATTGATATATGTTAAGAATTTAACATTGATAGTCCACTTTGCAATATGTACAAAAGAGCAAATGTTGAAGAAATATCAATAGAATAATTAGTAACTTTCTTATGTGATCTAAAATTACAAGTAGAGAGAATTGAGAATGTTTTAAAAATAAGTAGAATAATATAATAATTAAATAGGAGGCTTTAGAAAAAAAATAATGCCAATTATTTCAGACCTAAATTTTGATCATTGTTCTAAATCCACATCCAGTTCAAAAATAAAAAAAAATAATGTTGGAATTTAATAAAATAATATTGTAGTCAGAATCCTTTAAAAAACCAATTCTAGTGAATAATAATCATTTAAAATTAATTAGGAGAGTCTAAATTAAGATAATTAATTAAATCTAACTTCCTCTCTTTCAACTCATCAATATTTTGAAGATGAAAAATCTAGTAATCTTATAATTCATTAAACAAAAGAGATAATTTAAGACTAATTAATAATTAATTGTAAATAATAATAAGATGAAAAAATTGCATGTGAAGCTTGTAGAAAAACATTTTATTTTAATCAAGATTTTGAAAAGTTATGGTTCTTAGAAAATTGTGGACATGTAATGTGTAAATTATGTATTCATCGATTGGCATTAGAAAAATATGTTGAAAATGATGGTAGAATTATGTGTTAGGAAATTGGTTGTATAGCTTGGATTAAAGAATTTGAATTAAAATAAATACTAGGAATTGATAAATTTAATGATTTAGATTAAAAATTAGCATTTAAAAATTAAGATATTATTGAATGCATTAAATGTAAATCTCAATTCTTTTTTGAAAAAGGCAATCCCAAAGAAATAGTAAAAGATTAATAAGGTAAGAATATCAATCATGAAGCATAGATTAATTATGCTAATAATAGATTTATTTGTAAATAATGTAAAACAGAATAATGTAGAGAATGTAAAGCAGTTCCTTTTCATATTGGAATGACTTGTTAAGAGTATAAGATTAATTCATAAGCAAATAAATGTATTCTTTGTAATTTTCCATGTGAAGGAAAAGTATGTAATTAAGATGATTGTCAAAAAAGATTTTAAAGATTATGTTAAAATAAATTAGATTGTGGTCATAGTTGTAATGGAGTAAAAGGAGAAGAATGTTTATGTTTAATTTGTTCAAACTAAGAACCAGATGATTATTGTAATATGTGTTTTATTGAACCCTTAAAGAGTGCTCCATGTATTAAAACAGAATGTGGTCATATATTTCATGAAGAATGCATTTTTAAGAAATTAGATTCAAAATGGAATGGATATAGGATTATATTTAATTATTGTACATGTCCTTTATGCAAAAAATTCTTGGATATAAAACATAAGGAAATTAAAAATAAGATAAATGAAGCTTTATAATTAAAATTACATGTATAAGAGTTATGTTTAGAAAGATTACATATAGAAGGAATGAAATAAGCTTAAGAATTAATAGATCCTAAAAGTTAATATTATTAAAAACCACAAGAATTTGCAATGGATAAATTTTGTTTTTATGAATGTTTTAAATGTAAAAAGCCTTATTTTGGAGGAATTAAAAATTGTTAAGCTAATACAGATTATAATGAAAGAACTTAGTTCAATAAGGAAGATTTAATATGTCCTAGTTGTTGTCCAATATCTTTTGAAGATATATGTAATTAACATGGTGATAAATATATTGAATTTAAATGTCGATTTTGTTGTTCGGTTGCTGTTTGGTTTTGTGGGTATATATATAAAATAAATATATTTAGAGGAACAACTCATTATTGTGAACCATGTCATAGTGGAAGGAATCCGAATATGAATAAACCTTGTCCTGGACTCGAAAAATGCCCATTACGTATTAATCACAAGCCAACTGGATAGGAGAATGCCTTGGGATGTGCACTTTGTAGAACTAAAAGATTTGATGATATACTTAAATAAAACTGATTATATAATTATTTATTTTAATTTTATTAATAATATATCATATGATAGTAAATCTATGATCAGATATATATTAATTCTATATATTTTTGTATATTCTTTTCATAATTTTACCTTAACATTTATTGTAAATAATAAATGGAATGAAAAATGCAGACTGAATATTAATTCTAAGGTTTTATTAATTAAATATGCGTTCAAATTATGCAACAAATACCGAGAATGGTTCTGCAACTAAGCCATAACAATATTTTGAGGGTAATAGAAAAGGGGAAGTGAATGAATTGAAAATGTATCTAAATATTGATTGAATATAGATTGGTTAAGAATACTATTAATGAAAAGGATGATAAAAAGAAAAGAGAAGTAGTTAAGAAAGTGATTGCTTATATGACATTGGGTAGTATTAGATACTAAATTAGGAATCGATGTATCTAAATTATTCCCAGAAATGTGTATGGCTTCTTATACTAATGATTTGGTATAAAAAAAGATGATATATTTATATTTGACAACTTATGCAGAATAGAATAAGGATATGGCATTCATGGCCATAAGTACATTTTAAAAGGATTGCAAACACAATGATCCTAAAATTCGTGGATTTGCTTTAAGAAATTTATGCTCTCTTAGATTTAGTGGTGCTATAGAATTTCTAATGCCTGCAATAAAAGAGGCATTATCAGATATTGATGCATATGTTAGAAAAACAGCAATAATGGGATGTGTTAAAGTATTTTATATGCAACCAGAGTAATTAAATAATATTGAAGACTAATTATATAAAATGATAAGTGATAATGATCCTCTAGTAATTATAAATGCTATTCATGCATTAAATGAAATATTAGCATAAGAAGGTGGTATGGCATTATCAAAAAAGATGGTTGATTATTTATTAGGAAGATTGAAAGAATTTAATGAATGGGGATAGGCAACAATTTTGGATGAGCTTTCTAAATATTCCCCTAAAGATGATAAGGAAATGTTTAATATTATGAATTTATTAGAAGAGAGATTGAAACATTCTTGTTCTGCAATAGTTTTAGGAGTTATCAAGGTTTTTATGAATTTTACTAAAAATAAACCTTAAATATATGAATAAGTTATTACTAGAGTCAAATTACCATTAGTAACATTAGCATCAATTAGTGAAGGTAATTTTGAAATAATGTATACTATTTTGTGTCATATCAAATATATTGCATCTAAAGGATATAATTCTGTATTTGCATCTGATTATAAATCCTTTTATTGTAGAGTAGATGAACCAACATATATCAAATTACTTAAGCTTGAAATTTTATCATTAATTGCATGTGACTTTAATTTAGGAGATATGCTTAATGAATTAGGAGAATATGTTACAGATGTTGATCAAGAAATATCTAAAAAATCAATTTAAGCTTTAGGAGCTATTGCAATAAGATTACCTGACTTAGCTACTGCAATTGTTAAATAATTATCATCATTTGTTACTCTATAAGATTATATTACAAATGAAGTCATTCTTGTGTTTAAAGATATATTGAGAAAAGAACCTAAACATATTAAAGATTGTTTAGAAATTATTCAATCAGATAATATAACAGATTCAAATTCTAAAATTGCATTGATTTATATTCTTGGTCAATTTGGAAGTCAAATCCCTTTGGCTCCATATATTTTAGAAACATATATAGGAGCATAGGAATCAGTTGAATTAAAACATACACTCCTTACATCTTGTTTGAAAGTGTTTTTTGTTAGAGCCCCAGAAATGCATTAAGTGTTGGGTAAGTTATTTTATGTAATTATTAATAATGAGAATGAAGATATTGATTTAAAAGATAGAGCTGCATATTATTATAGAGCATTAAATTCTAATGCTAATGAAGTTAAATAACTTTGGCAATATAGTATAAAAGTTGATAAATTCCTTGAAGAAACTATTATAAATAAAGAAGCTCTATTATTTGAATTCAATTCATTATCTGTTATTTATGAAAAAAATGTTAACAAATTTATTAAGCCTATTGAATACTTTAATAATCTTAGAAATAAAGAATTGTAAGATCTTAACTAAGAATAATAATAAACTTAAACAAGTACAACTTAAGAATAAACATCTGATGTTATAGAAAATCCATAATCATAATCTTATGGTTAAACTAATGATCTTCTTGAAATTTCTGATTAACCTCAATAATAGATGTATTTGAGTGTAGATAGTTTCATAGTCAATTTTACAATAGATGCTGATCATTTTGAAAATATGTGGACTAATTTAAATGATGGGTAATTAATTAATCATTATTATTAGTGCTACTTTTACTAGAATGTTAATTAGAAATGATATTGCTAATGAAACTTCAATTGAATAATTATTTAAATAATATAGGCTGTATAATATTGCAGCAGGAGAAGAAGAGAATGTCTTGAAAATGTATTTCTATGGATCACACTAATGTTAAGTCTTTTTTGAATTTGAGATTAACAAGAATCTTAGTACAGTTATATTAAATACAAGATCTGAAATTGAAGATCAAGCATATTTAGCTTCTAAATATGTTGAAGATTTTCTTAAATAAGTTCATTTAATTGAATGATAATATTATATTACATATATATATATATTAGAGTTATCTTTTTTAATACATATATGGAATTTGATTGATTAATAAAAGATATTAATTAAATCAGATTAAAAATAAATGAAAAAGTAATTAATAAATTCATAGAAGATTAAAAGAATTTAATTAAATATGAACATTTAAACAATATATAACATTTCTTTTAGTATAGATTATGAGTTTTAATTTTATAAGGGAATAAATACTTATAGAGTTATATAATTTTAATTATATATATATAAATATTATGTCACTTTAAATAGATAATATGTTAATAAAAGAAAATAGATTAAAACGAATTCAAAAGCTATTCATTGCTAAAAATTTGGTTATGAATGAACCATAAACATAAAGTGATAGAAATATTTTTCAAGAAATTAATGATGAATTCAATATTGATAAAGGTCCAAAATATAATTAAAAGGGTGAAATCATTAAACACTCAATTTTAGGAAAACCTGATTGGTTCAATAAAACAAAGTATGGAAAAAAATAAGCATAATTTGATGAATTTAATCTTCGATAACTTCCACAAAAATCTTAGACAAGAATTGATTAAGATTAAAGATCCATGGCAAAGAGTGATGTAAAAAGTTTATAAAAAGGTGGAGGCTCTGGAAAATTCAAAAAGGAAAAGAGAGATTAATTAACAACTAAAACTCAATTGATTTAAGAATTGGAAAAAATTAAAGAAAGAATAGATATTAATAAAGAAATTGAACAAAGAAAATTGAAGTATTTATTAAATACTTATATTAGAGAGTTATAACCTATTGTAAGATCTAATGCTACAAAATAAGAAAGAGCAATGGACAAACATAATAAGATTGAATAATACTGGAATGATTTTACTTATAAATAAGCAAATCAATTAGGTAGATTTCCTTCTGATTGCCAATTAATATAAGCTGAAAATTATAGAACTAGATTAGAGGCTGCAGCAGCATTTGATGCTCTTAAAACAGATTATGAAAGATTTGGACCAAGAGTTTGGTAAATGACTCTTAGAAAACCTGATTAATCTAATGAAATGTTGATTAAAATGAAGGATACAGAAATGATTGTAGAAAATTAAATAAAATATGATTTTATAGTTGTAATTAATATTTAAGATATTTAGGGATCTGATTTACCTAATGCTTTTACAGAATCATCTGTTTGTGGACATAAGGGTGGTATAGAATACTATAGAAAACCTAATTTCTTACCTGATAGTAGTCAATTAACGATTTCCAGTAGATTCAGAAAATCTACAGATTCTGAAATGAATTAAAGTTCTTTACCTTTTAAGAGTTTTAGAAGTGAAGAATATTTGATGAAAAAGATTGAAAAATAAAAAAGTTAATTCAATTAATCTCATATGTTATCAATTGATAAGACTGATGGATATGATTAATTAATTATATTAGGAAAGAATTAATATGAAATAGAAAAATAAATGTTATTGAATGATGGAACAGATAATACAGGAGTTTATCGTAAGAATATTGAAAAGATATCTGAAGAACAAACTAAAGAATAAATTTATGAATAGAATTTTACTGGGAAATAGAGATTAATTTTACCATAAATTTATAAAACATAAATATCTAGAATTAAAAGATAAGGATCTGTCACAAGCAAAAGTTAGGATTCAAGAAGTAGTTAAGATTTTTAAACAGAAAATTAAACTATTATATAATGAATAGAAAGATTTTGATTTTGTATTTAACATGATTAATATACTTATTTTATATGAAGCTTTTTCATTTTTTCTTGTTTCCTCCTTTAGCTTAAGCAGCTGATTTTCCTCCTGCATTATTCTTTCTCAAAGCTTTTAATTAGGTACTGAGGAGTGCACTTCTCTATTTTTATAATTGATAATAGCATTACTCTCTTTCTGAGAATCATAACTCTAAATCTATCAAAATCTGTTAATTTAGCTCTTAAAGCTTTCTTGGCAACTTTCTTGGCAGCAATAGTATTTTGATATTGTGTAAATGGGTCATTCTTTTTAATTGCCTTGGTAATCACACCAGTTCTAGCACCTCTTGTGGCACCTTTAAGATTGAATTTGGTAAGTGTCAATCTTCTAATTGGGATGACCTATCTTTGAACTCCTGTTGTTGGTCCATCAATAAGGACTCTCTTATCATTGAGGATTTCAATAATAGTGGCTAATTTGCCTTCTTATGGACCATAGTTGATCTTGACAACTCTTCCAACTTCAACAAACTTTCCAAGTCCCTAGAAAAATTAATGGATGTTCTTACCATCTCTAATAAAACAAATTTTTTTTATTATTTAAAAATCCTTTTAATCTTTTTAAAAAGAGATGTTAAACAAATATAATATGTATTATTAAAATATATTCAATCAACCAAAGACTTCTCTTTTCTTATGAATATTTAA